CGCCTAAAACAGGCTCTGCAGTAAATACAGATAAAACTAAACTAAAATAATTTCAATTCCTTTTGCAAAACATTGAATCACATTTGTCACGCTCGGCCCAGGTGTTAAAAGGTACCCACAATATGATATAGTGCTACATTTGTTGCCGCTCGCCCATGAACAGGGTACTCGGAGTGTCAGTAGCGTTACAGCTTGATGAACTTTTGTGCTATTTAAGAAGCCACCATTTAAAAAACCTTTTTTTTTATGATTGTATTTTGTAGGAGGAAACCAGAGAGAGCTGGCCAGAGCCAGGAATGCCAAGAAGCAGGGGGGAAAGAATTCTGCTGACCATGGAGCTAACAAGGGCAAGTCACTAGATGATAGGAAACAAAGGTACATCAAATTATTATTGTTAATTTTTTAATACTACCAAGTTGGAGTTTGCAGTTGTGGAATAATTAAGGGTTCATGAAAAGTTAGCTTTAGTTTCATAGAATTATATTTTTGTCAATGACCTTGTCAAATACATGTATAATGAGTTAGTGTATTCATGTATTTTATTTATATCTGTTTATTTCAAGTGAAAATAAATGTGCATAAACATGAACTGTATTGAAGATGCATTTAATTGCTGAGAAAAATTATTAAAAAGTTCTAGATGAAATGATCGTTAGTGTACATACTAACATTGAATATATGTCTTCTCCTTCCTAATTTTCCTTTCTCATTTTCCTTTGTATAATTAAAGACAAAGTATCAATATATTTGTTTCACATTTCATTTTTGTTTGAGAAACATTTACACTTTGTGTAGTATTTCTTATGTCAATTTTGTCATTCACAACACTTAAGTACATTTTTAACATTTTAAAAATCATTGTTTAATCATGATAAAACACTTTTCATCTAATTTCTCTCTCAACCAGAGATGCTGATATAATGAGAATGAAACAGGAAAAGGCAGCAGCAGCAGCAGCAAAGAAGACAGAAGGGGCGGCTGGGTCTTCTAAAAAGTAATGTCAGCGATAGAATTTCAAGCATCTAAACGTTTGGAAGTGCCAGTAATGCTTCAGAACATATTGACCAAGAAGCAAGAGGCAAGAAGCAGAGGCACTAGGTCGGAGTAATATTTTTGTAATTATACATCAATCAACCTGCTCTGCATTATCAAATAAACTCAATGGTTGTGGATGAATAACTGAGCTACATGTGTATAATAGTAGCGTTCATAATGCAGACTCGGCTGTCTCATTATCTTTACTTATATGTAGATTTGTTAAAGGTATTTTAGCCTTCATTTTTTTTTTGTACATAAGACAAAATTTATCGATAGAACTTCCTTTGAGACCTAAAAATTGGGAGTGTTACTTTTGGATTCGATTTTGCCAAATCTCGTTTCCATTGATTACAGGAATTCTACTAACAATCTTTAGTCCGTAGAGGGTTGTAGAAGTCGTGTAACAGTGCTGTTAATTTCAGTTAAGTTCTGGTCATGCAGTCACATTGTGAAAGGAACTGTCTCCAAGAAATGGGAAAGGTTGATTATCTGGAAATAAGAAAGTCTCATTAAATACTCCACACAGAAATGGGTATATGGCACTACAGAAACATTTTGCATGAATTTTTGGTCCAAACACGCCCAACACTTCATCTAGTTCTCGTGATATATTTCAATTTGATGGCACTTGAAGAGGAATCCTTTTTTGATAGGAGACTTTTCTACTATGATATTCCTCCAAAATGATGTAAATAGCAGTAAAAGGCTCACAAATTATGTTTGCCCCTTAACCAGAACTCACCCTTCTCTTTAATGTTTCATTACTTGAGAAAAGTAGGAACCTTTTCCCATTTGTACAGCTTGTATCTTGCATATTATTATTCTAAGTTTACATGTAGATTCAATGAATCCTTAGTCCTTAGAATATTTCATTTGGCACTGAAAGTGAAACAGTGATCACAACACTTTCAAATTGTAGATAGTATAGAAAAATGAACCATAGTGAAATCAGTTCTTGTTGCATTAGGACAGTGTTACAGGCATTTTGGTATGTACATTAAAATGCTTATCATGATCTCTTGTAATAAGATTTGAAACATTTTGTATGTCCATTTTCCATTTTTTGGGGTGATTTAGCCTTTCGGTTGTACTTTTTATTTGGAGCATGTTGGATTTATTCTATTAAAAAAAGAGGCATTGTCGATGCTGGTTCTGAGGCATTAACAGGCAGTAAAAGCTTGTAAGGTATTCATCCCATTACTGTACCATGTAATGATGGGACATTTGAAAAGTCATAAGGCGAAACATCATATTGAATGTCTTTTAAGTAAAATTTGAAATCAGGAAAGTTTAGATGAAGATAGTAAATTTCTAGAATGAAAGAAAACATGCTTTATTCTGTTTTATTTCTTTCAAAAGAATATTCTACATACTACATATTGAATCACATTTACCCTTATGAAATGGATGGATTGCATGAATGTAGCAGGCAAAATATGTTCTTGATCAGTTATTATATACCTTGTACATATGGATAACCAGGCGCGTACACAGGGGGGGGGGGGGTTTGGGGGGTTAAACCCCCCCCCCCTTTGGTATTTTTTTGTGTGTAAACACCCCCTAAATTTCCCTAAAACCCCCCCTTTTGTTTTTGTTTTTTTTTATTTAAAAAAAAAAAAAAAAAAAAATTCCCATGGCTGACCTAAAAAAGATGACCTTACCCCCCCCCCCCAGCGGAGCAAAATGTCAAATTTTCAAATTTCGATACCAAAAAAAAAAAGTGTCCTCTTACCCCCCCCCCCCCCCCCCCCCCCCCCCGCTTATTCAGCGGTCGGCTGAGTCGTTGCGATTTTTTTTTGGGACCCCCCCCCAAAAAAAGTGACCTCTTCCCCCCCCCCCCCCGTTTATTCAGCGGCTGGCTGGGTCGTTGCGAAATTTTCGGCCCGATTTATAAATGTTAAAACCCCCCCCCCCCTTGAAAAAATCCTGCGTACGCGCCTGTGGATAACATATTCATTTATGCCCAGTAGCAGTTCTTACAGAGAAGATACTGTTCAAACTCTACTAGTCTACATAGGTTTGGAAATCATCTGAATTATAGAGTATCTAAGAGGAATACAAGTATTGACCCATCTACACCTGTTGTTATAAATGCACCTAAATTGTACCAAGGTTGGGCCATAAAATCCATAATCATTTTGCATTCTCTTACATGTTTTTATTCACATATGCTTTGATCACTGAATTATGTAAATTTCTATTGCTTTATTTTTTGCATTGTTAATACCAAGCTTATTCAACAATGCTTTCGCTTTTGTGTATGTTCAACCAATTCCACATATTTATGTTTTTTGCTACCATGTGGTAGTTGCATAATTCATTTGCAGACATGCAGCCATTATTGAGTTTATTCTGTAAAGATATTTTTTCAAAGCTTACCCTGTTTTTGAAAAAGTTATTCAGGTAATATTAAAAATCACCTAATAGTCTTTGGTAGCATATTGTACTTATCCATGAAATTTGTAGAAATACTATTAATAAGTTTATTCTGCAAATATGTTTTAACACAAATGATGTTTTTAGATTATTCTGGTGATATAATTACATGATCTTATTGATTTAGTATTACATTTTGCTGCCCTGTAAACTGTCTTATGATTCCCTCATAACCCTTGAAAGGTTGGCTATGATTAGTCTAGGCATACAACATCTATTGGTTCAAGATCGTGTCATGCATTTTGCTGGGGTATTAAAACTATTAATGTAATACATGTATGTTCATACAGTCATAAGATGATACCATCAGCATCATTTACATAGTTGGTTAATTCTCGCTACCCCAAATAGCGATTCTGCCGAGATCCGGGGAAAATCCTGAAAACGCGCATTGCATTATGGGATAGCTTTTCGACATTACAGCTTCCTGTGCAGGCGTTCGTGATCACAACCCTCTCTTTCACGGTAGAGTTTAACGGCCTTTTGTGCTAAAGTCACTAATTCTGCCCGAAGCTTTCCATTGCATATTATAATCTGTACAAATTACACTGATTGGCATCGATTTTAGCGTGCGTGAAAACTCTGCACAGCGAACACAGGCTAGCGCCAGTGGGATGGGACTCTATACCGGAAGTTGTAGTGACGACCCGAGAGAGTGAAAATTACCTCGTCTCGCGAATTTCGAGATATTCGTACCTATTTAGGGTAGCGAGAATTGAATTTTACTGAAAGTATCAATAATAAAATGTCATTTTCAAATAAATATTTTACATGATGTACAGCAATCTTCATCGTTTTATTTATTTTGTTAATTTTTCTTTATATTTGTGGAGGAGGGGGGGGGGGAGAATTCATTTACCTCTGTAACCTCTTTTCACAAACTGCAACATTCTACAAAGGGTATGTAACAAGCAAAACCACATAACCTAATGTATGGAGTTAAAATAGGGTGACTTTTATTTTACTGTCACTATGCATGTCATGATTTGAAAATAATAGGATGTCCAATCATGTCCTAATTAACAGAGAGAGAGAGAGAGAGAGAGAGAGAGAGTGGGAGAGGGAGGGAGGGAGAGAGATACAGACAGGGTCAGAGCGGGGAGAAAGGGAGGGAGAGAGACAGGGAAAGTTTGGAGAAATTGGAAATAAAGAAGGCAAAGAAAGGAAATGGAATAAGAGGAAGAGAACAAAATAAAAGGTTCAAGAGATAGGAAGATAAGAAGGAAGAGGGAAGAAAAGGAGGAGAGAGATATAAAGAGAAAGAGAAAATGAAAAGTGTATAATTAATTAATTCACTGTGTATGAGAGACTTCATAAGTGAATTATATTTTGGTTATCAAAATGGCAAAGCCATTACAGGAGGTGTACTTTCGATAGCTTTGAATTTCTACAATATTGCGTAAACAACTTAAATATAAGTTGATCGTTTTCCACGTTAGATTTAATTTTTGGCATCGAATGTCGATATCCTCCGTCCTCATACTTTTTTCTTTCAAGGTGTGTGTTTTCTAGAGTACCATAGACAAGAGAAATAAGCGCGACAGTTCAAAGAATCAAAACACTCTTCAAAAATATATCTCCGTGATTTTTCCTATGATATTGTTGTTCAGAATACAACCAAGATGTTGCATGAGTTACTGATGGCACTCAATGGATTTCCTGGAAGCATTTTCGTGGAACATGAACAAAACAGCATACGGGTAAACTAATTACGGTCCCATCCGTTCCGATTGACGTAGTGTACAGTACTCAGCTCAGTAGCTTAAAATTCAAGGATCCAATTGTCAATTCCCACTCCAGCAAAGCATAGAGAGTCAATGCTAATGCGTATTGACCTCTAGCACTGCATGCTTGCTGTGAGGCAGGTATTATTATACCCGTACACAAATACACACACCACACAATTTAGACTGCATAGGCCTACAGTCATGCCGATGCGGCTGTTTGACAGTCGGTAGATCTAGACTAGACCGAAAGCTTCAGTCTCTCTAATCGTTTGTTGTTCCACTGAGACTACGTCTGGCTCCACTAGACCTCCGATTATAGAGACTGAAGTCTGGGGACCTCTTTCTGTGAGGCACTGTACGGAACAAATGGTTCGGTTCGACCGGACCGCGATGAATGAGATATGCAACGAGATTTTCACTTTTTACATCCTCATAACTGCTGCAATTATAACACAAATTAAAAATAACATTTATATAGCTTATTTGACTTACGATAGCTTGCTCATTTAGATCCTAAATTAATGATTAATCCGAGAAAGTCTCGTCGTCAACATTATCCGTCTTGGTGTTAGTTGATGAATATTCATTTTTTCTTTTCGAACGTCCAATAGCTACCGTAGCTACGTACGAGTAAGCCCAGCTTGACCAACGAACTCCCACGAAACGAGTGCTCTGATTGGCCATTTGGCTATGTTTTGGTAGGTTGACCTGGAAATATTTTGGCCGCCGGGTCATATAGCCCTATGTTCCGAGTGCATGAACGTTCGGAGATACAAATTGGATAATTCATATAAGTAAGTCCGTAAATTATCCATTTAATATTGAGTTATCAAATTTTGATAACTGTAATTAGGACAAATGACATACCGACCTAATTTACATCTGATTTAGAAATCAGGAAATTAGATCTAAATAAAGAAAATCGGGGAGAAAATGTCGTGGACGAAAATATGTACATAGCCACCCCCACGGTACGAGATCTCTGGGTTGCCATCTGTATTGGGGAATGACAACAAATGTCAGTTTTATTAAAGAAATGACCCAAATCAGATGGTTATTGCTGTCTAGATCTAGACTTACAATTTGAATTTTTAAATTATTCTTTTTAACATCTGTAAGTTGAAAAAAAAGTATTTTACTGCTATTTAGGTGTCATCAATTGTCACTAAAGTACCGATTTTAAGTGAAATCAGTTGAGTTTTTGGTGTTTGAAATGTTGAGAATCAAAAGCACAGCTTTTACTACACAGGCAGGATAGTCATGCTCCTATGTGTGGGCAATTCCCACTTCCCAGGCGCTCGCGCGCGCCAAGTGCCATGCCAACAAGTGACCTCTATGATAATGTCACTCAAGTTTGTTGTGGTGTAGATCTATTGTTCATTTTGATTGAAATGGTCAGGTGGTTGATTTTGAATTTTCTTCTTTCCTTTTCTTCTTGCCAATGCAATCCTGCTTCCTTAGCTTTGACTTGCTTTTAGTTTTAGTCTTAGTTTTAAAATTGAAATTTGGTCTTTCAAAATTCAAATATTAAAATAATGTCCTTTTTTTCCTTCACTCAGGCTTTCTGCAATTTCTTATTTTTTCCCTTCAAAATCGATTAACGGAAAGTTCATACATTTAGTCGTAGAGTCTAGACTATCTATTCAGAGACGTCAAGTTCAAAGATCGGCAATGCGTGACATTTTCATGATTCGGCGCGTGATTGTGCGCTTGCGAGGGTATAACTCACGTATAAGGTATAGCGTTTTTACGAAATCTAGCGGTCGCGTTGTGTGTGAGAGCGTTTCCAGACCCTCGAAATGCGTGACACTTGGTAGCTCTGTCCATTCTTGGCATTGTATTCAACATTAGCAATATACACTGATCAGGTTCAGAGATATTTTTCACTTGTAGAGAATTTTTGAGAGAAATCTAATGTCAATGAACAAGACAAAGAAAACTAAGTCTAAATGCCAAATAGGACACAGACAGTTTTTTAGTTTACAACATCCATATCAGGGCTTGCCCTTAACTTTTTTTTGAGGTGGCCAGCAGGGCCACTTGGGTAGGAGATCTGGGTGGCCAAATGGATTTTCAGGTGGCCCCACTTTTATGCGTTATTAAATAATGCAAATGTTTAATAAAAAAATGCATAAATTATACGTGTTAAAAGCAGCATGAGCTGCATTTAATAATGAAAGGTGAGTGACTCTTTAGACTCTCATTCCAAATCCTCTCTCTTTCAGCGTGTTTCCACAGAAAACATCGACACGGTATTTTCCGTGTCATACCGTGTCATACCGTGTCATACCGGGTCAGTTTTCCTGTGGAAACACAAGCGTGTCGGGTCGAGTCGACCGAGATGCGGATTATCAGATCCACCTCTGGGAGGTGGATCTTGACGTGTCGACCCCCACGAACTCCCTGTAAAATCTCTGTGGAAACACACAGCGACAAACCGTGTCTGGCGGAGCATCACCACTGCAGCGTGATTGGTTGAAAAATACTCTGAAATACGCGTATACAATAATATGTTTATATACGCGCTGTACGTAACAATGGCAAATGTACGTCACAATAGAATAGCGTGGAATCCTGTGTAGATCTGAATCCACGATCGAGGTCAAAGGTTGAATCTTGACTTCCGATTGACACGGCATTTTCCTGACTTGGAACACGGAATCGGGGCGAATCGGAATGCTGCGCTCTGTGGAAACAGATTAGTTTAATACCGTGTCGCCGCGACACGGTATTTCAATCCGGAAAAGATAATCCGGGTTCCACTTTTTTTTCTGTGGAAACACGCTGTTTGTTTCTATACGTTCTGTCTCAACTTCACTTCAATGTTTTTACGCGTCAGTGGACAGGGATACCTCGCATACATACATGTTATGAACAGGACACAAGATCAGATTTTAGCAAATTATTTGCCATTTGTTTTCCATCAAAATTCATGGCCCAAGCCTTAGATTAAGCAGCCAGGAGCAAGGGGCAATTTATTTTTAAAAGTTGCCCCTTGCCCGCGGGGATTTACCAGAGCAAGGGGCAATTTCTTAAGAACCAGGGGCAATTTTCCAAAAACAGATGACAACTAATTGCACAACTTAAATAAGTGCAAAGTAGTTAATTTCATAATGTGAATAGGGTCTACGATCAATTTAATAACTTTTTAATCTTAACAAGATCAACAGGAAAGATTGATTAAGAACATCAACTTGCACATTAAACAGTAACTCCAGGAGTTAATTAAACAGTAGATCTAGATCTAGACTAAATCTATTTTAAACTGATGAGCAAATGAATAGACACACAAACCTTCCGCCACACTCTCGGCAGTAGGAGCAAATTTGAAGAAATTATCTTTTTAATTGTTGTATAACCAAAGAAATAAGAAGAAAACTGACCAAATATTTGTACTAAAAAGTTGCGTAACGTGTGTTCTCGTAACCAAAATCGTACCTCGCACACACACTCTCACCATACCACGAATGGTCCGTCGCCCGATCCTAGCGGGCTAGAGTTTGTCAACAAGACCAACGCAGCTTCGGAGAGTCGAAGCGCGCGCAATTTTACCGGGACTCGTGGGAAGCTGGCCGGCTAGCTTTCTGCCACAACAACGCTAGGTCAGCTGCTGGCAAAATGAGAGTAACTATGATCGAGAACATCGTAGGTGTTCTTAACTTATCAATAAGAGAATTATTAATTCTATTTGAGATGAAATAATAAACTAGATCTACAAACAAACCTCGACAGATCTCTAATGACTATTTGAATGCTTGTTTATTTCTCAATTTGACGATTTGTTTTCTTGATCCTTCGATACATTTGTACGTACACTGTGCGTGCGCCATCGCCACAGCATTTTAGCGATCGCATGATCTGAACGTACGTACCTAGTCTAGTGCGCTAGCCTATATAAGGGCGCATTTTCACGAAACACTTGCGCCTTATCAAGCACTAAATACGAAGCTAGTAGAGAGCTCGTGCGCGGAAAACTGTTCGCGATCCCGAATCACGAACAGTTTGCCGCGCGAGCTCTCTACTAGCTTCGTATTTAGTGATTTTATAAGGCGCAAGTGTTTCCGTGAAAATGCGCCCTTTACGAATCATTCGTGTATTTTGTCTGTTCTAATAATTTATGGGCGCATTTGCGCCTTGCCGTCTAGTTTTAGATGATTATGGGCGCAATTGGTGGTTTTATGAGCGCAAATTTGCGCCCTGCGCCCGCTTAATCGAAGGCTTGTCTAAAGGTTAAACAAGTTGTTGATAAATAATTTATATATTAATGTCCAAATATTTGGGTGGCCAGCCGGGCCATCTAGTCGGTGATTTCAGGTGGCCCGACAGCGTTTCAGGTGGCCATTGGCACCGGGCCACCGCTAAATTCAAGCCCTGCATATACATGTACAATGTAGAGACTAGAGTTGATGATCAGCTCTTACCCAAATCTTTTGAGAGCTGATGTTCAAAGTGCTACTGCTAGATCTAGTAAACAAAATGTCAGTACTTTTATTTAGTTTTAAATACCTATGAATATAATAACTTTGTATGCACAGTTGCAAAAAGAAAAGAAAAGAAAAGAAGAAGCCAAACTAACTGCCAAAGCTTTCATGTATTTTGTGATGAAAATAACTGGATGCATGAGACAAATGAAGTACTGTATCCTCAAAAGTGACACATCTACTGTCTAGATAATTTGTACTCTTTTGTCTTGTCTGTACTCAGGTTGTTCCAGATCTTCCCTTCATACATGTAAGTGAAGTTGGCGTGCTCAACAGAGTTTGTCGTCTTGGGGCCATCTATAAGACTCTACAAACATTCATCAGTAGATACAGTGGCAGTCCTCACTTGGGAGGTTACACAAAAGGTAGTGTAGTTATTAAAATAGGAAACTAAAGTAACAATCTTTGCACTGCCCATTAACAAAATATAACCAATAACAATTCAGTGATGAACACTTGCTACATGGAATAAAGGAACTTTTTTCTGATAAGTCAATCTTTCAGAAGAAGGTGGAGTAATGAATTCTCTGTACTATTGTCCTTGAGGTTTTAGACCTCTAGAGCAACAAGCAAACAAAAATAGCAAAACAACAACAACAACAATCAAACAGCAAACTGTAGAAAACCATTTGAATAAAAACGGTTACATTTGGTTAATAAATGTTTGTCATTAGGTTGTTTTGTTTAAAATAATGTTTTAACGTGGTAGTCTAGTCAAGTAAATTGTAAGATTAGCCTCGTGTAGCAGATGAATTTTTTAATACTTTGCCCTGTTTGTGTTAACCTCTTCCTCCCTAGAAACTAAGCCAGTGGATAGACTGTCTGATGGACTGTACCTCAGGACATTCTGTTCAGGTCTAGGCAAGGTCCTGGAACCCTACAGAAAAGCTTTATTAGACCTGGAACAAGATGTGAGTATTATACACCCTACATACTTATAACACCCTGTTATGCATTATCTCTGTTCCATCTCATATACCAGTACATGTTTGTAATTATTTTTTACATTTTTAATACTCTCTATTATTATTGAATAATCATTCATCTCTCTCTCTCTTTCTTTCTCTCTCCCTCCCTATGTATTAATATAGTTTGCATTTATAGGTGTTAATGTTTTTATTTTATCTGACCTCTACAAAACATGTGCTTTTTGACAAGTAGACAAGCCATGGGAGCCAGGGGACCCACACACCTTTGGTGTTAAGTCCTACCTGAGGAACATGGTAGTTGGGGATTCATGCCTTATCAAATGGCACAAGTGCATTGACTATTCAGAACTTGTGATCTCCTGAGCCATTGTGACTCATATTTTCCTTCAATGAATTAAAGTATGTACAAGTTTTGTGATTTGTTTTTTTTGTTACTTCAGATTTTATCAGATCCCAACCTGACCGTAGGCCATGTACAGCACACCTTGGAACCATTCCAGTCCCTCTTCCCAGCCCTTGTATCACTAGCCCAACAGATCCAGACCCAGGCTTACCATGGAGGCCAGATCCTGGATCTTCTTCAGAGGCACTGTGACTGTGGCCAGCCTGTCATTCAGCAAGCATTACAGAAGTAAGTCTTGACCTTAGTTTCAAAGTCATCATATTTGCTAGCATTTAGCTAACCACAATTTGTCCAGAGACAGAGTAGAAGAGAGAATGTTTACATATGAATATGTTATGTACATGTATATATGCCAGATGTCAGATTAGTAGATACAGTGGAGCCTTGTTTTAGAGATGTCTCCAGTAATGAAATTGTGTCATGACAAGGCAATTTTAATGGTCCTAATTCTTGCAGTTTATGATATAACAATCTTTCAACACAACAAGGTCATTTTCTTGGTCCAAAATTAGTTTGTTATTGTAGGGTTTCACTGTAGATGTAGTTTGGGTTGTATAATAAAATTTAATCATGCATAACAATGATCGTCATTTTAAAGTAATGAAAAGACTTTCATTTTTGAGGTGCTTTTTAAATTACATACCAGGTAGTCGTGAATAAATTGAATCATAAATTCCTTCATAGCAAAGATAATGCTGGCATGTAATCTTACTTTTTACTTTTGTTTGATGAATTACCATACTTATATTTTTAGAGTAATTGAATTGCAATCTTTTGTCTCTCAATCTTTCCTACCCACCCAGAATCCTGTTTGCTTGCCACTGTGTAATGTACCGTCAGGTAACAGCCTGGCTCCTCCATGGAATGTTGCTTGACCGTCATGCTGAGTTCTTCATCCACCAGACCACGGAGCCAGGCCAACTCTTGACCCCCAGTCCTGATGACGATGATCTTGGTCTAGGCGGGGTCACCAGTACACAACTTCAAGATATCATGGTAAGAAGAGATATCAATCCTAATGACTCGTGGATACAGTGTCAGCCATTTAAAAAAAAAAAAACTGAGAAATATCGGCCCAAAGAGGGAGAAAAAGAAGGAAAAAAAAGAAAATGAAAAAGAAAAAGATTCCGACCTTCCCATGTTTTGGCACCTAAAGGACAATACAATACAACATTTTGAATTTTTGTTAGGCCTTATGGCAGGACATGGATTGATTGGTGAGTTGGTTAACAGTGCCTTGCAAACAGAAGAAATGTATGATGACACATGCCTTTAAAGTGACCTACACTGCTCGGAAGAGTAACAAAATGCTTATATTCTTCAATATCATCTAATTCTGATGAACTCAAAAGGGAACATAAACACAATCAATGGGAATGCTTTATCATGTGGTAGCAGATTTGGGGCTGAATTTTGAAGTCTAATTAATAAACAAAAACAAGTAGGTGTCCAAGTTAGTGTGGATTGTTTAGATATTTTAGTTGCTTTACTCTTAATAAAAAATACACCTAATAATGATAAACTGCATGAAACATAACAGTTTGATTAGCATTTGGAAACAAAGTAGAATGGGAATACTATCGTGATAAGACGTGCACAAAAGTAATTCTTACTGCAGAAATTGAAGAAAAAAAATGCATTTATGTTTTACTGTGATTGTATTGTCATAGCAACTCTCTGAAGATGGAAGATCGTCAGAGACAGAACACAGTCACTTTGCCATCCATCCTGCCATGTTACCTAGCTACATCCCTGCGAGGGCAGCAGAGAAGATTCTCTTTGTCGGAGAGTCTGTTCAGATGTTTGAAAGCAAGAAACAAAGCACAGCCATGAAATACACAGGTAGGGCTACTTTTTGTACAGTTATACATTATCTTATTTATCTTGGCACCGAATCCACTTAAAACAAAATGCTCAAAGCATACTTGTGCAAAAGTTGAAATCCCCTAAATGTAACAGGATATTTTTTGGGGGTATATAAATTGTATGCATCAATATATAGTCACCAATTTGATATGAATTGTGCAAGCAGACTGCTTCAGCATTTTAAGAAACCAAAGCCAACTAGCCCACTCCTCAAAGCAAGCATGCAATACACTCTATAACCATCTACTAATGTACTGTATCTATATTTGATAAACATCAAAAGCCATAAAATGTTCAAGTTTCAAAGTCTTCTTTTATTTAAAGACTTTGGTATTGCATCACCCTGGAAATTTACTTTCAACATGGATGCTTAGAGAGCCTGACAAAAAAAAAATTAACTTCCATGGAAGCCTTTTCCTGTTATACCATGTATTTGTAGTTTTGACAAATCATGTGTGCCAAGGAACAAATTAACTCTGGACGTTTTTTTAAATGTACTTTTAGACTCTGTACTAGGTGAGAATGAAGCTGAGTTTGCAAGCAGACTTCATGATCTTCAGGAGAAGCCTATCTTCTCAGTCCAAGACTTTGAGGATGCTGTAGATGAGATCAGAGTCTGTGTGGCTGAGGTGAGATCAAGACCTTGGTCTAACATACTCAAACTTCCCCACTCTGGAACAACTTGTAGTCTTTTAGATTTTCTTGGTTTCTTCTTCTTCTTTTTCTTTATATTTTTCTTGGTCCTCTCTTTATGATATCATAAATGAGCCATTTGTCTTTTAGTTTCAACTGTTTATCTCTCTCTTGTTTGAAGGCCTTTTATTTTCGCCATAGCACCAAATTTGTATCTTTATCTCAAGAATATTTGTTGTCACAACTTATCCATTTTCACTAGAACTTTCACATTGTTTATTACTCACATTAATGTTCAGCATTCACAAATTTACAAATTAAAGATGATTCTAATATGCAATGTTAAAGAAGTCATGTAATGCATATTTTAGAATTTGATTAAAAAAAACTTGTGATCGATTTTGTAATTTGTTTAATGTAATTATATGCAAGTCTGAAAAGCTGCAGTTAATGATAAACTGTAAGAAGTAGAAGTGAAAGATATTTTAGAATTATTTTTCAATCTTAATTTGGATTTTGATTTTTCTCTCCTTCCAAACAGCATCTATGGAAACTAGTAGTAGAGGAGTTCAACCTAGTAGGCAAGCTGAACATGTTCAAAGATTTCTTTCTTCTTGGGAGGGGTGAGCTATTCCTTGCATTCATTGACCAGGCTCAGACTCTACTCAAGAACCCAGCTACAACCACTACAGAACACGGTAAAAATAATTCTTTTAGTTTTTAACTTATAATACTATCTGTTCCAATTTTATTTGAGAAATTGGTTACTTTTTTCTTCAGATTCTAGCAAACATCCTGGTCTACAGCAGGTTGCAGAATTACATATTTTTTAGAATAATTATGCTAGGAGGTCATGTAATATTTTATGATGAATGGTAGGGGGGAAACTTGAAGATCTTGTAGCTTAGGGTGATCAATGACAATGTATTAAATCTACAATAGAAATATGGTCTATTGAAAAGAGTGCTTTTCATGGAAATCATTTTCAATATCAATTCTGATTTTTATTTTTCATTAATAATGTTATACATGGTTACATGAAAGAGTAGCTACTGGTAGTTGATATAACATGTTATGCTAACTATTAGCAGTGAACTTGTATTACATATCAATGCTTCTTACCTGGAAAAAAAGGTAACCTTGTAAATAAAAATCGCAAGAAATGCCATCTTGAGAAGCAGGTAGCTATTCTGTACAGGATCCTTTACTTTAGCTTTCAATGAGAATCACTGTACAAGAGAAACAAAGAAAAATGTGGTCTTTATATACAGGTGGCCTTTCTGTACAGGTGGTTGCTAAAGCAGGTTTCACTGAATAATCAATCTTTTTTATATCTTGTCAGATGTAAATGTGGCCTTCCAGCAAGCGGCTCATAAGATCCTCTCCGACGATGACACCTCCCTCTCTAGGTTCAGAATAACCATCTCAGGAAAGATCAGTAAACCATCTTCCAAGAGTAAGTACTCAGACTCCTTCTGTGATTGCATATAGACCATTCAAGGGAAACACATCAAGTGTCTTGTAATAATCTTGATTAAAGCTATGGTCACAAAGGTTCGTACGAATCTCCGTTTTTCCATTGTCTTTCCGAATTTCCATTGTCTGAAAATCGTTTGTACGGCGTTCGTAGCAGTTCGTAATGGCATTTGTGACCGAGGCTTTAGATGGCCCTCAATTCAAAATACCGTCTCTAAGCGCTTTACATATATTATAGCCCCAGTCATTGGATTCATTTACGGACAATGTGCACCATCTCCACTCCCTGCTATTCCTACCACAACAAAAGCTTTTGTCATCCTACCAGGTACCCATATCTATCCTGGGTATGGAGTGGCCATTTATACTGTGGCCTAAATTTAAGTCTAACTCCCAGTATAAATGGTGTATTAGTATGAGTGTTCAAATTATGGGGACTCTTGAGAGGTCAATTTTTTCTCGATGCACGAGGTATGACTTAATTCTGAGTCACTCTTTGTTTATTTGTACATCTTTCATCGTACATCACACTGTGGTTATAAGTGTATCCAGCTAAAAAGTATAAATAGAATACCCAACTTGCTCTACCACATTCAGAGAGTGAAGGCATGAGACCAGGACGAGGTAGTGCAGAGAGTGGTTGGTCATGTCTTGGGATGACCTTTGCTGTCCAGTGGCCCCTCCACATTCTATTCACCCAGAGTGTATTAGAAAGGTAAGTTGGACCACGACTGTACTTGATTTTTAGAGTACTTGTATCAATCAATCAATGTGATTCTTTAAAAGACGTTTAGTTACTATATGAAACTCAGGATTATATCCTACGTACCTACATCATTGGAAATGCAGAACACAGAGACAGCAACCACACAAGCTCTCATCTGCCTCACCTTTTCATCTTATAACCCTTAAATGCAAAGAGTTACAGCTCATTGCAGTAACTCGTGGGGATCTCTTGATATGACTCCAGAAAACTCTCACAAGCTTGAGAGGACTCAGCAAAGAAGTATTGTTGTTAACTCGATGCTGGCTCGTAAAACACTCATTTTCAAGAGTTAAGCACGAGTTTGAGCTTGTGTGTAACTCACCAAAACTTGTCACTACAACTTGGCTAAGTGGAGAATTGCTTTAAGTGTCTACCCCTCTTATCTCAATATTCCTACTTTTAATCTTTAAACATTACAACAACAAAAATACATCCTATTTGCTTCATTTCTCATTATTATTGTCAGTAATTTGTCAATAAAAAGAAATTTCTGTTGAGTTTATTTTTCTGTCGCTGTTCATGATTTAATTAAATATTAGAATGATGCATCACTATTATCATTGCTCTGCATATCAAACTACTTGGAGATGTATTGTTTCCTCCCCCCTCCTGTATCCTTACAGGTACAACATGTTGTTCAGGTTCCTTCTCAATGTGAAACGGGTCCAGCTGGAGTTACAGCAGTGCTGGGCCGTTCAGATGCAGCATAAACATCAGAACTTCAAGCGTTGGGATGCAGCCCAATGGAGGCTTCGTTCACACATGGCCTTCCTCATAGACAACCTTCAATACTTCCTTCAGGTATGAAACTGGATTGTATATTCTTTTTAATATATGCTCTTTGTATCTTTTATATCTTTTATTTCTTTATATGCTCCACATGACACCCAAGATAGTAATGAGTAGGTTTTGGGTTAAAAGGACTTGTCATTTTGTGAAATTGGGAAATCCTAAAATGTAACCGTTATTGAAGGGAATCCTTCAAACATCTTTCATTGAGATGTAAAGATTTTATTGATTAAATACAGGTTTCAAAAAAATGTCGGGACAAAGTATTTATAAAGCAAATATACCATTTTTACCTGATTACATGTATATTATTGCCTAATTATAATTGAGAAATTTGTATTGTGATATTCCTGAAAGACTTCTTTTATAAGGATATTGCCACCAGAGAAACTTTGAAAACATTAAGCAGAATGGTTTCATCCATTAAACATGTAATATATTAAATAACACCCACAAAATAGATCACCATTAATCTGGTCTGTGTTTTAATGTACATGACTTTGTATACTAAGAACAGTGTTTTATATAATTCCTTTTGTTTGACAGGTTGATGTCTTAGAAACTCATTTCATCCAGCTCATACAGAAGATTGAAATCAAAAGAGACTTTGAGGCCGTGCGTTTGGCCCATGATCAGTTCCTGGTCTCGCTCATGGCCCAGTGCTTCCTCCTCTCAAAACCGGTAAGAAAATTATTCTCTGCCAAGTTTGTCACCATGCTTCTTTTGCTCTGAACTCTTTTATTTTACTGCCCTCATGACAACACAGCATAACTGACATTTTAGTGTTTCTGAGATATAGGAAGAAATATGCATTTCAATTTGCTATTAAAAATGTTTTATTGTTTGTATTCAGTGTTGACTTATCAAAATAGGTAATTACAGTATGTTTTAAACCCTAAATTTTAGTTTAACATGTGGAACTTGATGTTCTGAGTCACCCACACTAAATAACTGGATTTTGCAAGAAATGTCAGTTATGCCGTTTTGTCATGGAAGAGCAGTATAGTTCCGTTTACTCGTATGTTTACGTTTTATTGTATAATCATTATAAGTGAATCATCTCTTTGGAGTTAATCACCATCATGACCACCCATCTATTTCTTTCTTTCTAATCTATTTATTCTCACTTTGAATGGAATATTGAAACAGGGGGTGGTAGTTTGCGTGGACTTATGGAAGAGAAGACAAACATCTATTTTTTGATTTATTTGTATCGGGATATGGGACTACTGCAGGATGTGGACTGTGCCATATCATAATTGCATGGAGGAAAATAAAAGGATTGACACACTGTTTTTTAATTTTTTAAAATTTATTCCTTTTTATTTAAACAGGGTAACTCTCTCAGTATTAATACTGTTTGGTGTTGGCAGTTCAAATTGAATCAAGCGTACAAGGCTGTTTTTTTCGGTAGTCTCTTGCATGACCTGATATTAAGGACACTCTGCTTTGCATTACAGGTTCATCATTGTTTGACAGAGATCCTTGAGTTATGCTACTCCTTCTGTAGTCTCATGATGCAGACCTCGACTGTTACAGAGAGAGAACTTACACACATGGACAAACTAGCACAGGTAGAGACACCAGATAGTTGCCTTTCGATACGAATAAATAATTTGTATGTGTGTGCCTTTTAAGAAAGAAAAGGGTTTCATGGCGGTTCGTTTGAGTTATTGTAATGTAGTTTCTGCTGTTATATTGGCACATAAAATCGATAGGGACACATCTGGTATGCTACAAAATTTCAAGCATGTTTACTATCTTCATGATTGTGTAGGATAGTTGATAGTTACTTGTATGTACATGTAAATACAAGGTGGAGAGGAGGGAGATTTCATGATCCATTCAACACCTATTACAGCTGGGTTTTACTGTCTGTGTCTAGGACACTATGTTACTGTATATTACAGTACAATTTACAAATATCGACTGCTTTGAGGGGCAAGGTTAAAACTATTGCCCAATGTGAACTCAAAATTCTACTGTGTCCCGAGAAGAAGTCAAGGGGCATAGTGCACTTTCGAGACCACAGAAGAGCTATAGTTTGAAGCGCGACCCCAAAAAATAAGCAGTCGATATACTGCATCCTCAGTGTCAATTCTCAATATGAGACATTTTAACCAAATATACCTGTTAAAGTGTATCAAAGGAAATGTTCTCATCTAAGAGAATTGTGCGTGTCCCACTGAACTAATCCATTCTTAACTTCAAACACAACCACTATGCCCTTGCAATGTAAGCTGAAGTAGAACTATGCCATTTTTTTGCTATACTGGCCAGCAGTCATTAGCAAATTTTGTATTATTTTTATATTGTATTCCTGCATTTTCCCAATATAGGGTTTCAATCGCCAGTCATCGCTTCTCTTCAAGATTTTATCTGGGGTTCGTAACCATCATGCCAGCCCTCATCTTACCCAGCTTCTCCTGAGACTAGACTTCAACAAGTACTACAGCCAGGCAGAGGGTGCATTAGCAAGATAGCCAACAAAGCAGACAATGGGAAACTAGAGACAAGTTGACATGTGTCTTAGCTCCTCAGTGAATGACTTCTAGTATGTTACATTTATGGAGACTGAAATATTTTTCATACCACCTGGGATGTTATCTGTAGTTCAGTAGTCAATGGAAAATGTTCATGTCAAATTGTACATCTTCTAAACTTCAAAGGAAGGAGCATGGCATCAAGAGCCCGACAGAAAGATTTGTTTGTTTAAAGTTGAAATATAAAATGATTATTTATTTTGCAGCTAAGCTGAAATTTTAGTATTCCATACATTGCTTTAATTTGCAGGACTTTTGTGAATATTGTAAATACTCTTTTGAGATCAAAGCAGAGAGCATTTATTTGAGGTACTGTATGGCAAAATAATGAATTTAGAGGGTACTTTCAAATATGATTGCATGACACTTTCTCCGGCAACACTTGTTCAGTGGTTAGTTTGTAACATCTATCAAATTCAACCTTTAACCCATCACTAAACCCAACAAGAAAATGTACTCAATAGTATCTGAAGCTCTATCCCTACATTTTTGACAAACTTAATAGAGCCTGAAGCAAACGTTTGCTGAAGTAAAAATAGATTGTGAACCTTGAGTTTATGTATACCATGGCTCCGTCTTACAAAGACTTGATATCAGATCGCAACTATGTACATAAGAGATAGGAGACTGCAAACTTGCGATTGATTGGAGGACTGGATTGATTCAGATCAATCGTAACTCTTTGTAAGACGGGGCCCATGTCTTGTGTATTTGATAGTAAAGTTTCTCTATGAAATAGAGATGCGATCACTCCCTCATGTATACTTGTATACTTCCTGATCTTGAACAATATCATTCTTGTGATTTTTGTGAATAAAATATTATACTGTTTATATTTTTGATCCAGTATGGTATTTATTTGATAAAATTTTTCTGTTTGAAAAGTTAGTATCTGTAACAGCATGTGAAACTGATGATGTCATAGAATTGTTGTTTCACACATAAATTAATGAAATGAGACTGGCAATTCAAAGATATTTAAAATAAATCATTTTATTCTTTGCATGTAATTTCTTGTAAAATATACAATTAGAAGGAAAGAAATAGTGGAAGGCACTTGATACTAAAGCTTGGCACAAAATTACAGTAAAGAAAAGCTGCAAGTTGCACATATACTTTCGGAGTTGAAAGACATTATGTTAAAACAAAACTATCATTATGCAAACAATGTACAACAAAAATTAGGAATGGAACTACCTTAACATACCGGTAATCATTTTTCAAACTGATTTTAAACATCTTTGCATAATCTAATATATATACAACAAATTCATGAACTGAGTCCTTATATTAATGTATTCAATAATTGAAAGAAGGTGATTGTAAACAAGTTCATTCTTAAATGGGCTACTGATTTTAAAAAGCGTGCATAGACCAGAATGGGGCAGAAGGGGAAATTATTACAATTTCTTTCCTTCTTAGGTCATCAGGGAATTTGTTGAAGTGGTTGTTAATTACATTCATACACAGCACTAGCATATCAAGTTGGACAGGCATTAAAGAGAAGGTTGAGTTCTGGGGAGAGGTGAACAAAGATTTGTGAGCATTATTGTTATTATGCAAGTGTGGAAGAACATCAGAGAAAAAAAATGTTCCCTGAAAAGCATGGTTCTTCAAATGCCTCCATATTCTAAATATTACAAGTAACAGCTTAAAAATGAGGACCAATTTTTATGTACATGGTTGTGCAGTCCCATATACATCTTTCCATGTACAGTGCTTGTTATTTTACCAAGACTGGGCCAAATTTGTTATCGACTCCAGAACCTTGCAGTACACACCAATACTCATATGCTACATGCTCAACTTTTTCTGATCTATTCCACACCGTTTCTTTCACTGTGCGAGGCATTTTTCAGTGCCATAGTGCAGCTAACTATTTGTGACATGAATTCATTCCACTGAAAGATAAATGATTTAAAGGAACACATCCTCTATTCTACAATGGATTCTTCACTTACAATGTATCAACAGAGGATGGCAATCTTTCCCAGTACCACCTCAGGTGCTGTATAAATATACATTTCCTCAACATGTGAATTACGCATTCATAATAATAATATGTCTTGTTTACCCAGGGTAGCCTCATCAGTATTCATACTGTTCTCCCTGAGGGCCCTGCAATCATATTATTACCCCGGTCATCGGATTCAGGCTTACCCGCACACAATGTATGCACATTCTCCACTCCCTGGGGAGCATTCTAGCCAGTGCATAATTTTTACAAGCTCATGCTCATAAACAACCCATACCTCTCGCATCAAAGCTTTTCCTTCTTTTTTTGGTTACATTAATTTCTAATCTAAAAATCAGCTGCATTAGTGCTGCATGCAACCCTTACCAAAAATAGCAATCATTTTATGCACATCATTGAAACTTCTACCATTTTCCACGATTCTTTACAACAGTGAGCACAACCATTACCAGGAACATCAACATGTAAATCTAAGTTAATTACGATGCAGTTGTGTACATGTATTATACTTGAAATAATGAAGTAGATTTAAATAGGAATGTAACTGGATTTTAAAAAAAAATTAAAAAAATATTATTTTAATGAAAATTACTACTTTTTTATAATCTTTCATCAAATTTTGATTTTGAGTTTGATTTGTAAGTGAGGTGTAAACAAAATGCACCATAATTTCAGGTAAATCAGTCAGATATTGCTGCCATGATTTATGATACATCAGTAATTTGTATATGAAGCTGGCTGTCCTCAAACCTACTGGTAATACATTTATATTGTTCATTATTTAATGGCAAGATGATTTGACAAAAGTTAAAATGTTGCATATCCCTGAAAAACCTTTATCACAACTATGCATCTCAATATTTGTCTCCCAAGTTTTAAAAGAACAATAACATACAGAAAATAGAAATATGCACTGTGCACAAGACAATACAGTAGAACAGGCCTTCATCTCAAAGAATCAACTTTCCATGGTATCACAACAAGAAAGTATTATATTTTCATTACCAATTGATAGACACACAAAAACAGAGGCATTATATATTTTCTTCTATGGGAAGACATCTACTGACTTGCAGTGAAGAACTAGATGGAATTTTGACTGCGCGCAGTCGAAAATGATGCCTCCGCCATAGAGCAATTTAAACAAGTTTGGAGTTTAAATCTCCAGTGGTTCTTGAGATATCATGATAACAATCTCAATGTATGGAATTTCATAAGTTGACCTCTGTGACCCTTGACCTTTGACCTACGTGCTCCAAAATCTAATCAGATTGTCTTCCTATGGTGATACACACTATCATTAAGTTTGAAGTTTAAATCTCCAGTGGTTCTTGAGATATCATGATATGGTGATACATACTATAATTAAGTTTGAAGTGAAAATTCTCCAGTGGTTCTTGAGATATCGCGATAACGATCTCAATGTATGGAATTTCATAAGTTGACCTCTGTGACCCTTGACCTTTGACCTACGTGCTCCAAAATCTAATCAGATTGTCTTCCTATGGTGATACACACTATCATTAAGTTTGAAGTTTAAATCTCCAGTGGTTCTTGAGATATTATGATAACAATCTCAATGTATGGAATTTCATAAGTTGACCTCTGTGACCCTTGACCTTTGACCTACGTGCTCCAAAATCTAATCAGATCGTCTTCCTATGGTGATACATACTATCCTTAAGTTTGAAGTTTTTACATCTCCAGTGGTTCTTGAGATATCATGATAACAATCTCAATGTATGGAATTTCATAAGTTGACCTCTATGACCCTTGACCTTTGACCTACGTGCTCCAAAATGTAATCAGATTGTTTTCCTATAGTGATACACCCTATCACTAAGTTTGAAGTTTAAATCTCCAGTGGTTCTTGAGATATCATGATAACAATATCAATGTATGGAATTTCATAAGTTGACCTCTGTGACCCTTGACCTTTGACATACGTGCTCCAAAATCTAATCAGATCGTCTTCCTATGGTGATACATACTATCCTTAAGTTTGAAGTTTAAATCTCAAATGGTTCTTGAGATATCGCGCTAACAAACTCAATACAAGGAATTTCATAAGTTGACCTCTGTGACCTGTGACCTTTGACCTACGTACTCCAAAATCTAATCAGATCGTCTTCCTATGGTGATAAATACTATTCCCGAGTTTTAAGTTTAAATCTTAAATGGTTCTTGAGATATTGTGATAACGGTCAAACGGGACGGACGTACGGACGTACGGACGTACGGACGGACAACCCGAAAACATGATGCCTCCGGCACCACCTTCGGTGGCGGAGGCATAAAAATTGCAACTATATTCAACAATTTGGAGGTACTTTCTTTTGATACCAAAGTCCATTTCACTTCAATTCACAGTATTTTAGTTGTAAGAAAGTATTACATTTTCATTACCAATAGATAGACACACAAAAACAGACTATTTGTATCTGAAGTCACAGCTAGAAGTACTATTTACAATGGAATCCACATGAAACCCATGTATGTAAATAAATCTTCTACCTTAAGTCTTTATGGGGGGAGGGGGAGTAGGGTTCAGGAGCCCTTCTCACTCCCTCCGAGCCCCCTGGTTACCATAGCTGTAGGCCAAGACAATGTGCTAGTGCCTTTTGTTAAAGTATTCATGCTCAATTATCAAGTTTCTTTCTTGGATACAATATAAAGTCATGACTCCATTCACTTCACTGGTTGTTCACCAACAAGCATACATTTGCTCTCTCAGCAATCACGTAAGAATATGTGTACATCATCATCATCCATTTCCTAAAATTCAAACGTCTCGCTCGTGCTTCTTGCATTAGATTTCATCCCCATGATATATTACAGCAGAGTGCCCTTTTTACTCAAGGACAGCCGTATTTACATATACCTTAAACAGTAAAGCTATATAGGTAAGAAGACAAAAATTCCTTCGAAGAGAAGAGAGACATATGATGCTACAGAGGATATTGCAATTATTGGAAACAATGTTCTAAAATCCAATCCATACTTTTCAATTACAATTTTTCACTTTTCATCTGCAGCTCATATACATTTTTGTATCAAAATTTCAAAAGTTGATTTTGTTATATAGTCATAATAGAAACAATCAAATTCAATGTCAATAGTTAGTCCAAAGACTTTGCAATTATACACGATGACAGTCAGGAATTCCTCTTTGTTATTTTGAGAGAATATGGACCTGTATGAAATCATTTGTCATCCTGATTCCATCGCTAGGTTAAAGAGAGTGTAGCCTGACGACACTACATGTCTTTCCCGTGGCCCGACTCAGGCCCGACTACGGACAACGCGACTGCAGCAATCATGTGCGTGCAACATACGTGAAACCGAAGCGTGGGGAGAACTTTGTTTGTCATCCTGATTCCATTGCTAGGTTATAGCTAGACAGGGTTAATAAATATCACTGAAAATGATTGAAAATTACTTCAGTTTCTCTTTGTAATCCCAGATGAACTTATCATGAGAATCATATGGCATCCTGACACCATTGATGAGGGATTGCATCACCCATTCCACCGATACTACCGGTATGTCTAACTGCTGGGCTCGGTGGAGGATGTGACGAGGGCAAGATGGATCAGTCACCATCACGCTACAGTCAAAGGGAATACCTGTGTCCGACGTGGAATAAACAACAAAGGCATGTATTAGATATTTAGATTTTAAAAAAGAGTTACGGAAGGGTAAAGCAAGGCTTTGATAGTTATAAATTGCCCGGTTATTTGACTGGCATGACAAATCTCTATTATTTCATACACATTTCCTTTGGCAAATCCAATTTCTCATTATCAAAAAACAAAGAGTTATCAAGATGAACAGAAACTATCGTGAGAATGTGTATTTTGGTAAAGATATCATTTACAATTGTATAGATGTTCATAATGAAGTAAAAATTACAAAACAACACAAGACAACACAAGACAAGGTGCCAAAGTCTCAGGGCAGTTGTCCTAAACACAGAATTTCAGCTCGACAGAGATTAGACAAAAGACCATTTCATAAATTTATTCATGCAATGCTTGATTCCAATTTAAATCAAAATAATTTCCTACGTTAGGAAGTCACATTGCCTCAGATTCTGAAACAAAATCCTGGATTTAGCTCATGCTGCAATCATAAGATATTTATGATTGGAAATCGAAATCAAATTTTTCGTTTTCCTAACGGGTTTTATAACACTACAGTCCATTGGGGAAAACGAAAACCGGTCACTCAATTTTCTAAAACTTTTTTGAGGCACTTCATGATCATTTTGAAGCGCAATTTTTTAAGGCTTTAATATTACACCATATCACAGACACTGATAACACGTAGGGCCATGCATCTCAGATTTAACATTGTTAAATGATGCCTTTAAAGAATAAATACTTGACCCACCTCCCCTGTTAAGTTCATTGGTAGTTGGGAATCTAGCGACTATATGACAACCAGCCACCATGAGAATAGATCGCCAGGTGTTCTCTACTTGAATATGACTGGAGATGACCATTATCTTCAGACCAGATAGGATACGTCGGTTGGGTTTCCTAGATAAACAAAAAGAGAAAGGATCATCAGGTAAATTGTTCTGCAATATTTGAGGACAAGACTAAGATCATGAGACCAGATAACATGCAGTTAATTGGGTTTCCTGGATAAACAAGAATAATACAAAAGATCACTAGATGGATTCTACACATACTTCAAATAGACCAGTATACATTCAAGTTTTATTCTTACTTAAAAAAAAAAAAAGGTGACAACCTGAAAGCTTGCCCAAATAGCAACAAGTAATGAATGTAGACTGGATTCCAAATATTATAGTTCATTCATTATCCACAGGTTAATGGAATAACTCATCACTAGGTCTAGGTCCCCAGGAAAGAAACATCTATAGATATTAGTAAACCGGTCTATCGTATGGATATGACAGACATTGAGGGACCAGAAAGAAAAACAGCAATGATTTCCTGGAAACAAGAGATTGTGATATAGGCAAAATAAATTTCTCTTCGCCGACATGAGAACAGACTGAACCTGTTAAGAGTAACCTATCATGTCTGTGTATAGTTTCATTCTTTTAATTAAATGGAAGGTTAATTTTTATTGTATAATTGTTTTAAATGGGGGCACGCTCCAAGAGTCCTATCTCGCACCCCGGGGCAACGTGTCTGACACGGTCGGTTGTAGCAACTACTCCAATGATCAAAATACATTAATCTTGATCTAAGGAGACACGAACGAACGAGCATTACTGACTGCTGTATGAGTGGATTGGAGTCACTGTTTTAGATGTAGCTAGTTAATGTTCTTCTTTGCAACCGAATTTTTTTTTCATAACCCTTCCCCATTTTGAAGAGAATCTGAATTTGCAGACGAGGAAGGAGAAATCTACAGGCAGAAGTCTACCTTTCAGCTATACTCAGAACCTATAATTCAATTTGTATAAATCATAAATCAATCTATTGGTTGATGAATTATTTCATTAGGTTGCACTGATCAGTAAAATACAGTGAAAACTTTATATAAAGACTACCTATGGGAGTGAAAAAAGGGAGTCCTTATAGGCAGGTGGTGCTTAGAACAGGTTCTGTGAATACATACGTCTATGTAAATCACTACGCAAGGGAAACAAAATATGTGGTCCTCATAGACAGATGGTCTTTCTATACAGATGGTCACTGCAACAGGTTTGGCTGTAATTACGTTAATCTTATCCTTGTTCTTTCTCTATAAAGCATAGCGTGCATTGGAGAGGGATAATAAAAATTTTAAAAATCGGTTGAAAGAGCTGAGAATAATTATTATTAAACAGATATCTTCTTATATTTGGGACTTGAAGCCCATCTCATAGATTGGATAGAATTCTTACCATTCCATGATATTACCATTGACGGATTCACCTGCAGGTAACAGGTATGCTTTGTGGCTCTGAAGTTTACCCTGGAACAAAACAAATCACATTTAAAGAGAAAGTTGAGTTCTGGTAAATAAAGAAAATAAGTTCTCACAGAATCCAACGAAACTTACAGTGAATGTTCAAGATTACAAATAAATGACATGTGCCAAATAGTTTTGGTAGAAAATGTATAGTGGCTGAGTAATGAGCATATTAAGGTAAGGAAATCCGGGTAAGTAGGTCCGACACCATGTGCTTAACACAGGTCACTGTGTGCAAATGGGAGTTGTGGTTTTTACCAAAGATGATACCAAGTAATTTTTTCAGGCATTTGTTTTTATTTTATTTCACTGGTTCGAACAACCAATCTACTGCAGTATAAACAACCAAGAATAAATCATAGCATTTTATCACATCTATCTCTCACCGTTCGTGAGCAATCTCTGATCCATAGGTTAGAGACACAAGGAATGTTGAAAGCCAGGGCCAGGAAGTACTTTTTTGTTCGGCAGTAGGTATTGGCTACCAGGGATAGCTTGTACTGTGTCTTCTGTAGGAAGAGAAAAACATTCAAACAATATCAATACATTTTGATGCCTATAAAATCTCGAGAAGCCTAATATGACTGATGAAAGGACAAAACTACTGAAATGTCAAAATACTGACCTTGCATGATACTTGTAATTGGTCGACATTTGCATTAGACCCCTTTACCTCCCCCCCCCCAAAAAAAACAAACAAACAAACAAACAAAAAAACAAAAAAACAACCCACAACAACAAAAAACAATACTTTCATCATATACAGAAAATACTGATGATGGAGCTGGCTGTGTTACCTGTGATTTGTCAAAGTCTTTGAGGACCACTCCTCCTCCTGCTTCTATCTGTTTCCTGGCATGATCTTTGTCAAAGGGAGCTTCATCAGCATCATCTGACAAGTAGATGATAAGAAATCTTTAGTTTACAAAATGTTAGGTTGCAACCTTCATTTAAAAAAAAAAAACAACACTCACACATGTCACTTTGCCTTTCCCCTGACCCTACAATATTGATTGTCCCAAGCGCTATACACATTCTTTGTATTATTATTATTATTATTATTTATTACTCTACATCTACAAGATGAATATTTGACTAAGTTTAAAGGTAAAGACCAGTAATGGTCATGCGATTGCATTGTGAAAGAAACGTTGTGGAATCGATCAGAAAAGGTTGATCATCTAGCATCTAGCATCTGCAAGGTTCTGGAATCATCAAAATGATAAGAAATTTGGCCCATTCTTCGTAAAGTTACAAGCACTATACACAGAAAGATGTATATGGGACTACCCTATCTCTCTCACACGACCATGAGAGAAATAAATTTACCAAATATATGAATTAGTAGGCGGTTTCCCGGCAAATTTTTTATCATCATGTATTAGTCAAAACATTCTTTCACATGATTGGTAATGAGAGCTTCCATTTCATTTTTTGAAATTGGGGCGTTACCAATACTGGTCTTTACCTTTAACTATCAACTTTCACATTTATTCTTAAATTGTATACTAAAATGTGTTGTTATCGAGGAGGCAAACAGACTGACAAAAACATGTATGGTATATTAACACTCTGGAAAGACTAGGGCAGACACTAACCATAATCTTATGAACAAATATTGATGAACAGCATATCACCAATGATATGTAGTAAACGAAATATAGAATACTATCTTACAATGGATATGTTATAACTAAACTGTAGAGTAGTTTCAATAACTCTTTAATACATGGATAGGATTATGCAAGTTAGGCTGTGAACATGATTATAAAGTGGTAATCCAGCTGGTATCATAATAGCCATGGAGAAAAGAAGGAAAAGATTTGCATTATAGGACAGAAAAATGTCTTACCCTCCAGCTCACTCTCACTGGTACTTGTATCGACCTTTGCCCTCTTCTTGACCTCTCCCTGGGTCAGAAAGAAAGCCATGCCCTTGAACAATGTCTTGTTCTTTGGCAACGGTCCTAGCAACATCTCCATGGTCCTAGGGGTGGAGGGAGGGCCACCCCTGGTAGCTGGAAAGAGACCCCTTGCAGGGCTGCCTGGGGTTGATGACGTGGAAGGGGGCTGCTTACGAGGTGATCGTCGGATGCCAATCCCTTGCTTACCAAGATCAGGACTCGCTGTAACTGCAAGGGATATGAATTGGCAAAAATGTAAGAAAACAGGGGAAATGGACTTTGATAATGGTCACAATTTCGCATAAAACAAAATATTAAAATCATTTTAAGGTAATGGACAATTGAAATATGCAGCATCTCTTTTAACTTTTGTATAGATCATAATCCAATTTACAATTCTATCTTTATATCCCAGCAAAATTTGAGCTTTCAGACTTTCAGTGTATACAGGGTGAGTCTGAACGGACACTACACTCCTTATTTAACCGATTTCATATTGGAATCAGGTGGTTCAGGTACAAAGTCTATGGGAACAAGATAATTTAATAGTCAGGGGGGTTAAAATTAAAACCCAACTCATTGACAATGAGTTACAAGCAGAAGAACAATAAAAGTTAATGTCTGCAAAATCAAATGGAGGAGAGATTTGATTATTGATAGGGCATGGGTAAACAAAGGATGTTTAGATTGATGATGCTTACAGCACATACCTGTAGCTAGACAAGAAAACAAACAAAAAATTGGAAGAGGAGGAGGAGGAAAATAGCGAGGAGAACAGAATGACACAAGGATGGAAAAAGGGACACTAGTTACCAGTTGTGAGTAGCCTTTTAGCAAGCTGTTTTGCCTTCTTGCGAGGCGAGACATCACCACCCTCAGCGGGTTGCTTCTCAGCAGTAGCTTTCCTCTTTCCTCCCGACCTGGTAACAGCAGGAGAAGGGTCATGCCTAGGAGTTCGACCTAGTACCTTACTGGGGGTTCTCACTACTCCACCTCCATCAGGAGCCCGGAGTCTGCTCCTCTGACGAGTACCAGAAATCAAGTTTTCTGCATTTTTTTGGCAAAGTGACAAGCATGAGATTTAATTTTGAGCTCTTTCAGAAGAATAGGATTAGAGCATTCAGGTACATCCCCCCTCTACTTCGTGCTCTCTTCTCGTTGCTTCCTCTGTCACATCCCTTGTGTCTTTCTATCCCCTCTTCCCCTCTATCTGTTCATCTCTTTCCATCCATCTCTCTTTCTATCTCTCACTCTCTCTCTCTCTCTCTCTCTCTGTCTCTGTCTGTCTCTCTCTCTCCCTCTCTCTCAAACATAAACATCAGGATTTTGAAATAGGATTCTGCTTTGAAAGCATCTGATACAAAACCACAGAAGCCTGGTTTTGTCTATCTGGACAAAGCATGGTATTTTTGTTCTCATGAGTCTTCTTATACTGTTTGCATAATATAATAACAGATTAAAAGATAGTAGTTATCCTAAATCATCTTACGTAAAACATTGTACTCTGGTGTTCTAAAAGTTACCATCAAATTACAAATCATTACATTTATTAAACAGTAAGGATAATATCTGAAACTTGGCACAGAACCTCGTAGTTGCATAGCATATCCTTCATCATACATGTACTAAATATAATGTCTTTGAGACTGTTCTAACGGGCCCTTGCCATTGCAAACCATTTATGATAAAAGTTATTGGACTTACCAAGACTGATGTCCGAGATTCCTGTGCTGCTGCTGCTAGGGCAGGATGTGAGCAAGAGATTCGCCTGATCTTTAGACAAGATGACCTTCCGTCTGGGATATCTGAATGACATATATGTAAGGACATAAAGGACAGGTAAATGTATCTGATAGCATTTCGGTTAAAATGTAAAGGAGCCTGCAAGGATTTAAAAAAAAAGTTTTCAATTAAATTTAATTTATTCATAATCCAACAACTTAAAAACAATTATAACAGTCATAAATACACCAATTGGCATAATAATAGATAAAAAAGGATATCTTCAAAAATAAGAAAAGACACTGAACACATATTTCTTTTTTACACAAAAAAATTGTTTCTACATGTATGAACATGTATATCTTTGTTTCAATGAATCTGAAATAAACATGTTCTTGTAGATACAAAATACCGGAATATCACCAACAATGTATGTTTCATACCCTCATAGGCACTTATACCTACAAGGAATTTTGTAAATCTTAAGACAAAACTCTTCGGACTTATGGTGAAATCTTTTTACCTATCTGGGGTCTAGCTAGTCAAGGAGGCATGTTCCAGATTTCTCATGCATACATGCATACATGTCCAAGTTAGGAAGATCTTTTACAATGGAAATATGAATGTAGATTGGCCAGGGCCCTGTTTCATAAAACTTGTTATCAATAACAAATGCTAAATTTCATCACAAATTTGCTCTCAGCCAATCAAATGCCACGATTTCAGTAGCTTATAACAGTTATTGTAACTTGTTATTGAAAACAATGTTTATGATCCAGGGACTTGATGTGATCCTTTATTAACAAGACAGGGTTTCACATGTGACTACTTTTTGCTACGGGCTACCTTACCTTGTTGTTTGTCCATTGTCTGTCTCTACAAAATAGCCAGCATCCTTCGGATTGGAACCTCTAAAATAGCCAATCACAATGCCTGAAGACAAAGAAAACAGAAAAAACAAACATAATCCTACATGTGACTTTTATGTTACATACATGCCTATTAACAATAATTGTTTGTGTTGAATAGAAATATTTTTCCTTCACATTGTTGTATATAACATAACAAATTGAATTAAAATTAAAGTTACTCTATCCAGATTAACAGAAAAGAAGTGCTGATTTATACAATTTTTTTTTTAAATAGTGAATTGTGATTGTGAATTCTATTGAGAAAAATGAACTCTTCTATTTATTCAACAAATGGAAACATTGCCTTAATGGGACAACTATGACATGCATAGCCAAAGATTACTTTTCATTAGCCACATTCACAATGCATGAAAGTGAAATCATCTCCAACAGATAACAATAACATAAAACCTTGTTCCAGTTGTTAAACTTGTTCAAACAAAAACTGATGTATGCAATCAATGCATCTCTCCCTTTCTTTACAAACCTGGATAGTTGTATCCATCTTCGGCTGATTCGGCCATGACGCTCTGCCCCGTTGATAACCAATCCTTGATGATAACGTCCTTACTATTCACGCTTCGCATATCACCGTCATCAAAGGCAATCTTGAGTCTATGACCACACAATCAAAAAGGGTTTAATAGGAGCAATACTTGGATCAAACTATCAGAATGACATAACATTTGAAAATAAGATTTAGGAATTTTTAGCACGGTAATGCCTTCGAAAATAAGAAACCGCACTTGCAGCAGCAGCATAACTGGCAATACGCGGTAAATGTGGTACTAAAAAGCTAATAAAAATTCGCTGCTCGATCATGCAGCCATTCAACGCACAGAATACGTGAACTCTCAAATCGCGGCACATGATAAACAAGCTTAATTTGGCTTTAGCCGATGAAAAAAAAAAAATGGAATATTCTGGATTTTCAGGTCCTAGAAATCCAGAAAATCAGAATATTCTGGATTATTTGTAAGGGTTGGATCAAGTATTTGTATGAGACATTTAAACAGAATTATTAATAGATGCACTTTTCTCAACCAAGCACAAAGTCTTGCGAAACACATCTGAACAAAGATAGGTTTTTTCGATATAAATACCAACAGTGGCTTCTTGAACAATGCATGTGTCCATCATGCAGTTGCGCTCCTAGCAGTCTAATATCACAACCCTGATTATGTACTGCTCAAGTATATCACTTTATTAAGCCCTACTGCACTTATTATAGCTACTTGCGCCCTCTATGTAGCAACAATGCCTAACGGTGCCTGTTGGTCCCCCATGATCCCCTTTTTCTTATGTTAATTGAGAGCTGATTTGATGAGATAACCACCTGTCAGTGACCTTGCAGGGAGGTCTAATCCCCCCTGGCCAAACTAGCGCAGACAGGCTTTAAAGTGAATTACTCACCTGTTATTTTTCTCTTCTTTCTTGATGGTACCAGGGTAATAGAAGCCATCCATCCAACGAGTAAAGACTCTAACACCAGGTACCAGGAAAGCTTGAGCAGAATCTGTTGTGGTGCTTGAAGCACTCCCTGCACTCGGTTGTTGCATGGACTCCTGGGGAGGTTCGGAAAGGATTACATCCTGGTCTCCATCTTCTTCAAAAAAACAAGGAAAGAAAGATGTATGAGCACTTATTTTGCCCTTTGGAACAGCATCCCTCTTTCCATAAGGGAAATTACTTGTCTTGCCACCTTCAAAAGATCCCTCAAAACTTACCTTTTTTTCGAGTGATCTATGAGGTTTACTTCCTGTATTTGTATTTGTAAGTGCTATGGTACTTATTGTTTTTAGCGCTCCTAAATATCCGATATTATTATCATTACTTATCATTGGTTTACATCCATTGCAGACAAAAAATTGAACTTGGGTTCCTATGCCCTTGGTGGAGATGTTAGGATTTACCAAATGGACCAATGTACGGTTTAAAGTATGTCTTTAGTTGTCCTGCCTCTCCCGATCCCAGGTAGCCTGTTTACAATTATGTAGAGAAGGTAGATTTTGTTTAAACTGAATAAAATATTTAGAGACAACACGAAAAGGCAGTAAGAAAATAATGTTGTAAATATTTCTGATTCCGACACTTCATCGCTTTAAATCCTGGAAATGATTCAAAACATGTAACTTATTTCTAAGAAGTACATTTCTATATCTTTTTTTCCCCAATTTTTACAGTCTTTTTTCGGATGACCTGCCAATGATGCAATACATAATTATACTCACCATCTTGTACAATAATAGTATCTTCCAAGGACGACCTCGTAGGGGTTGTTATCTGTGTTTTGCTTCTCCTTTTGCCTCTTGTTGGTCTTGTCGATGATCCCTCTTGATTGCTGGTGGACGGCTCAGGATCATCCACTTTCTCTTCTAAACTCTCTCCTGTAGTGGTGGTAGTCTGTTTTCCCACATCTGCATCACTCTTCTCTACTGTCTCATCGCTGGAAATCCTTTCCATTTCAGTCCTTGGCTGCGCACAGGGTATTCCTTCCGACTCCTCTGACGATTGCTGCCCTTGTTCAACGTTCCAACCTTCACTAAGGTTAAGTTCAGGAGGTGGATCCATTCGGACATTCGATGGTTGCTCGTGAGTGCTTTGCTCAGCTTGTTCCGGAGTCCTTGAGACTCTTCTTCTACTAGGTGTTCTCTTCGGTTTGACAAATTGAGCATCCTTTCCATCAGGGACCATCCTAGCCTCTGCATCTGATGAACTTTTGCTGCCCTTGGAAGACATTCTTCTAGAAAGCATCAATGCAGAAGGACTTACATCCGAAGACCTAACCTGACCGGTCCTGCTAGTCTGTTCAGAGATGCCTGTTGGAGGCTCAGTCCCACCTGTAAAGGATCTACGTTGAGTGTCCATGGGGGACACTCTGGATGAATCCTGGTTCCTTGACACACCAGGTGAAGCCCTTGTCCCCCTTGAAGGAATCCGCTGTGGGACAACACCACCAGGAGACATTAGCTGCCTTCCAGATGAAGACTGTTCCTGTCCAGAAACATTAGGTGAGGTCTTCTCTGATCCTGGAAGGCTGATCGTCTTGTCCAGAGAACTGTTTCCTTCAGAGATACTTGAGAGACTGATACTCTTCTGGATCCCGGTGCTGAGGACACTGGAGCTCTTTTGGAGGCTCCCTGCAACGCTTGAAGACGTCCTGGAGCCCAAGGAGCTGATATCAGCCAAGGAACCAGAGGTTAGAGAACTTGTCTTGGAACGTGGAGATGGGGTCATGAAATCTTGCTCTAGCTTTTCAATGATTTCTTCATTTACTACCTGCAAAATTTGGAAAAGAAGAACATAATAATTCTATTTACTACAACCAAATTGTTATGACTTTCTGGATCTCAGCAGACCACACATGATTCATGTATTTACCAAATTCAAGAAGAAGCTACAAGTAGCAGTCAAATAATTTTCCGCAAATAATTTTAAAATGTTCTATTTTTTAGGAAATTTAGTATTTATGACAGTTTATCATTTCGTTTTTGAACATAACAATTTATATATATATATATATATATATACATATGTATTTGCTTATTTTTGATTCATTGTCAGAAAAATACTTATTGTATTTTATATTATTATTGTTATCGAAAAACTGTGTACTTATATGTATTTATATGAATGCAGAAGAAAATCAAATCAAATTAAAAAAGCAGCATCGGCTGAATAAAACAATGATTATCGAAGTCTGAAGTAAAAGAAAAATTACTGTGGCTTAAAATTCACAGCGATGTGTAAGTGATATGCTGAGTTCATGTCACACAATTACAATTTACACAAAAGAGGTAAAAATTTGAGAAGTTTGCTACAGAAACACTTGAATAATCTTCAACATTAAAAGTTTTTCAAAGCATATAATACAGAGGAAGAAAAGTTCTTATAACTTAAGAAACAGATGTTTAAAAATATTCCTTCTGCATAAAAAAGTGAGAATAGAAGCCAAACAAGTACCTGTTCAAGAACAGTAGTCTCTACTATTTCGCCCCACTCAATCACCTCCTTGATTCTCTGAGTGATGTTAACTTTCTTATAGCGAACAATCTTCCAAGGAGGAGGTTGTCTTGTAGGAGGTGAGTGGCCTGGAATCTGAAATCAAGAACAAGAAGCTAATTTGAACATGGCCTTTCTACTGGTACCAACCAAGATCTAGTAATAATAAAATAATGTTCTTGTACTTAAAGCGCATATCCCATTTTGACAACAGCCCTACAGTGTATGTGCTTTCAAAGAAGTTAAGATATGATTATCTTGCTTTAGCTCCAGCAGCCAAACTCAGTACTGGGTACCTGCCAGGTACCCATTTAAAACCTGGGTGGAGAGAGACAAATGTGGCCTTGTCTAAAGACATATGCACCAGGTAGGGATTAGAACCCTACATATCAACTTATATGAATCAGCTGCCAATTTGTGCCATAATATTTCAGTATTCTAAAGGGGAGCAACTATGTTTTTTTTGTTGAAGGAAGAAAGAAGTATTCTCAAATACACATGTCACAATAATTATAAAAATCTGAAAAGCAGTATTTTGTATGACAAGTTCCATACTATTATCAAATTTCAGTAAATCTAGTGAAAATCACTATCATCTCTGAAATCATGATGACCGTTTTCGATTAAGTTCTAAAATTTATTAGATATGGAAAAATGGCATCTTAAATATTAGAACAATCTGCACAATGTGAACAATTTGGTAACTTGCCTGTCTGAGTTCCAGGGAAGCTGGGCTAGCCTGTAATCTTCTCTCCGCAGCCACTGGCACGGGATCCTGTACTATCCTCTGTGTCATGGATGGCGATGCGACATAAGAAGGTTTCTCAGTCAAGACCTTAGCAGTTTGGCCTTTGTTCTGTTGTTTCTCTAGGACCTTCCCTCGCTTCTTGGGGACTTTACGAACAGTAGAACTTGCCTTCTTCCGTGGGGAGGTTCTGGTCCGATTTAACGCTGGGTTTTCCACATTGTCCCCTTCTTCTTCTGTAGTCTCTGGATCCTGGGGGCGCTTCCTCTTGGCACCTCGATTCTGACGACTGCCCTTGGGAGTTCTCTTAGTCTTCAAGGTTACTGCTGCACTGGTTGATGGCTGCTCAGTTGTAGGTTTGGTAGATGAAACTGGTGTCATGAGAGAAAAGAGAGAGGGAGGGGGAGGGAAAGAGAGAGTGAGAGGGGAGGGGAGGGAAAGAGAAAGAGAGAGAAAGAGAGAGATTGGGAAAACTCATAAGGCACGCGTGTCTGGACAATAAGCATAAGAAAATGCTTTTCTATTCATAACTGATGCCATAAAAATAAGCTTACACTTTATATGGTTGTCATAAAATATTGCATTTGCACATGAAATATGCATCAAATCAGTAAGACAAAAAACAATGTAGATAGCCTTCATTGTTTAATAACAAATCCAATGCCATGTGTTTTATTCAAATCCTTTAACAGTAGAAATTAAACTGGACTCTTTAAGAAAAGATTTCCATTTACAATCAAAGCTGCTTTAGTGACCACCTGTCTACAAAGACTGCCTTTTTTGTTTCCCTGGAAAATAGTTTCTCATTGAAACATGTACTAAAGGAACCTGTACATAAAGACAGCCTGCCTATAAAGACCACTTTTTTGTCTTCCTTGAGTGGTCTTTATAGACAGGTTTCACTGTACCATACTTTTTATAGAAAACAATGGAAACATCATGCTTACCTTCACTAAGATTTTTTGAGGGAAGTTTCTCTTTAGGCTCGGTGTCCTCTTTCCTAGCCCAGGTCTTCATCGGAGTAGGAGTCTTGTTTGACTGTGACTCTGTGAACTCGTAGGGATCTCTTCTCCTTTCCTGAGACACAAAGATCTGCTGCTGGCCCTTTGAGGGTATCTCTTCCACTTCTTCTATCCTCGCATCTTCTTTCTTTCCTTCTTCAATCTCTTCTTCTTCTGCCTCGATTTCCATCTCAACTTCAGCTTCTTGTTCATCAGTAGCTCCATATTGCTGCGTTTCTATTTGCCTGGTCTTTAAGATCTCTGATTCCTCTTCTGTCATCTCCTCCCAAACCTCTACATCAGGACATTCCGTCCTTGGGTCTTCGCCATGGTACTCTAGGGGAATCGTCGCAGAGTTGTCCTCTTCCACTGCAACATCCGGGGCTTCCCTCTCATCCCCATGCTCCGCCTCGATATCAATCTCTTTCCCTCTTTTTCCCTTACTGGCCTGGCTTGTGGTTCCTTGAGGCTGATCACCTTGTGGTAAACTCTGTTGATTCCTCTTCTTTCCAAGGATTAATTTGGTTTTTGGATTTGTCAATGAGAATGGATCCCTGCAAAACAAGCAGTCATTGACAGTAATGAATCAGTACATCTTGTAAAAGTCACCGGAGTTATAGTTCCCTGTATTATGTACTTGTATATTAATGATCCAGTATAAAAGGAAATTCTGTATTCATTAAACCGATATTCACAATACATTGATGACAAATATTCAATGGTGATAAAAACAGTTCAAAATGTGACTATAATTATTCTTTTTGCGATGAAAAAGATAACACTGAAATAATGAATAATAACTACTTCTCCAACAAACGTAACCAAACAATTCTTACTGCGCTTGAGAGACATGCATTTGCTTGCAAAATATCTAGGCTCCTGGTCCCTGTTTCATAAAACTTGTTATCGATAACAAGTGTCACATTTCTATAACAAAGTTGCTCTCAGCCAATCAAATGCAGCGATTTCAGTAGCTTATAACAGTTATTGCAACATGCTATTGATAACAAGTTTTATGAAACAGGGCCCTGGTTTGAATGCCTTACTTATCCTTGGTGGGGGCAGTCTGTTTCTTGGTTCTGGTGTTACTCTTAGCGGCTTTGGTTGCTTCTACCACTCTGCTAAAGACTGACTTTTGTCTCTTACTGGGGCTTTCCTTGGCTTCCTTCAGCAACTCACTGCAGTCAGTTGGATCTATTTAATAAATAAAAGCAAAGATGACAGCATTTTTTTCAGGATCACTCCATTAAGAGGTTTGATTTCTTCTAAAGGTAAAAAACAACATTCATGAGGTTTTTTTTATTTGGGGGGGGGGGGGGGGGTGATTGGTACACTTAAAGGGATAGGGTAACTTTGTCTCAGATTCTGAAACAAAATCCTGGATTTAGCTCATGCTGCAATGATAATTATGAACCTTTAGGTCAGTTAGGAACCCCATGACTTTTACAAGCCAATCGTCTGTCTGATTATCAAGATATTTATGATTTATGATTTATGATATTTATGATATATACAGTTTTCATAACACTACAGTCTATTGGGGAAAATATTACACCATATTACAGACACTGATAACACGTAGGGCCATGTATCTCAGATTTAACATTGTTAAACGATGCCTTTAACAGTTGATAAATGAACTACTTACTTCTTAGATTAAAAGCCGGAATCTCGCTGCTCTCAGAAGAGTCCATCTCAATGACTGCACTGACTACAAGTGCACTCGAAGACTTGCTAGTGGTCTTCGGTGTCTCCTGAAAATGAACAGTGAATTTATCATTGTAGCATAGTCACTCAGATTCGGCGCTGTACTTTGACTTCCAGTACACAAATACATTATAGAAAAATATTTGAATGCATTCAAATTTATGGATATTACTTCACTCAACCCAAATAAATTTCCTCACGTTGTGTATTAAAGGTAAAGACCAGTATTGGAAATGCCCCAATTTCAAAAAATGAAATGGAAGCTCTTATTACCAATCATGTGAAAGAATATGTTTTGACTAATACATGATGATACAATTTTTGCCGGGAAACCGCCTACTAATTGATCTATTTGGTAAATTAGTTTAGCTACATGGTCTGTCGCGCACGTGTGCGTAGTCCCATATACATCTTTCTGTGTACAGTGCTTGCAACTTTACGAAGACTGGGCCGAATTTCTTATTATTTTGATGATTCCAGAACCTTGCAGTTCACACCAATACTTATATGCTAGATGATCAACCTTTTTTGATCGATTCCACGTTTCTTTCACAATGCAATCGCATGACCAGAAATGGTCTTTACCTTTAAAGTGTGTCTATACACAGAATCTGCACTCCACAAATCACAATGCTGCTATGCTGGACAGCCATTAAAAATAATGAATATGAATTGGGTCATGGAAGTAATTATTGATTTTCACTCCTTTTTCAAAATTCAATGTTCAAGTACATGACTTTTTCAAAAAGAAAGATACAGATTTTTAAAATCCACATGGTAATTGTAGTCTACCAAAGGTAACACTGATCAATATTACATATCATCAGTGTTATTTTGTACCGACGAATCCCTACAGTTTTATATATGACGGATTTGTCCGTTCAAAATAAAGGCAACAATAAAACACAGAATAAGAAATAAAATATTATTGGATTAGAGACATTTGAGTTCAAATTTAATTCATGATCATCTTCCTACTTTGTCCGCTGTGGAGAGGACTTCTCTCTGGCTACTGCTCCCCTCTGTCTCATCTGCTATTGGAGTGCTGTGACGAGGTGTTCCGTCTGTCCTCCATTGACCTTTCTTACCGAGGTGAGGGGTCATGCTACTTAAAGGTCGCAACAGGGCCCCATCCTTGGGAACACTCAAGTGGAAACCTAGTGTGGTAAGGAGAACCAGCATAGAGTTTACTTGAAGAAGTTAATGTAAACCGTTTGTACTGTACCTTCGTTGCACATTACAAAGCTATAGTTAATGATACATATTAATGTTTAATATTGTATCAGTATTCTATATCATGTATATGTATTATGTATCATTGTAATTCTGGTGCTGTTGTCCTAGCTCTTAATTGGGTATAAGGACTATCTTTTACCTCATAGCTGCAAGGACAACATCACCATGACGCCAAGAAACATAGTATTGGGCACTTCAGAAATGTGTCTCATTATCATTATACTCTAGTTCAATTACAGTTATGTCCAAGATGCCTACATGTATGACAGGCACTTATTGCAAGTCAATAGCATGATCTCTATGCAAGTCAATGGCAAGATCTCTAGTCATAGCCTATTCATAAACTTTTTTTCTTTTTTACATTGTCCACTTAATCATACACTTTTCATGACAATTCACATATAATGCTTTTGAGCATTGATTTAGCAGAAAGTCTTTCTTATAATTTTTTACAAATAGTAACAATAGGATTGTTAGCACTGGTCCCATTCAGGTTGTTGTTCACTCATCAAGAAATATGAATAAAAATTGACTTCATAGGTAACAAAATTTAACAAAACGCACACAAATAACAGCATCAACAATGACTCGGGTACAGAGAGTGATTAAAAAATCTCAAGAAAATACTGAAAGCTTTGGGAAACTACAAATAAAACATACTGCTGAAGAAAACCATGATTGTAATGTTTTATACTGGGCCACTCTAAAGGACTAACCTGCTATGGGTGAAGGGTTGTCCGACTCTCCAAGCTGTCCCAATCCTAACCTTCCTTCATCAGGCAATTGTGCATCTCCTTCCAAGAAGACAGAATCCTCCATTCCTTCACCGAATTTCCCTCTTGATCCTTCTTTCATCGCTTTCTCTCCTCCATCAGGGTCAGAGTGTTTTTGTTTACCCCTCCCATCATCTTCCTTATTCTCGCCAAGTTTCTCTGATTCTGGTATCACCATGGAAACCTCATCATCATCCACATCCTCAGCTTGTGTAGAACGCCAAGGTGTACCTTGCCTGGAGACGTTTGTTGTCCCATCTCCTTTTAGCCGAGTCGTCTTCCGTTCATGTGCGTCTTCTTCTTCTACAGCCTTACTTTCAATTTGTGACAGATCCCTCTCCGACATGACGTCTTTAATACCAAGTTCCCTGTGACTGTGAGCAACGCTATACTGTGTCTGAGTTTGTGTTTGGGATGGAGAGAGTTGCAGATGCCAGTCTTGTGAAGGGTCGACACCCATTCCCGCTTCCGCATCATCCCTCTTATTACCCTCCTCCTCCTTCTCATAATCATCATCAATAATTTCTATGTCAGGTTCTGGCACTACATCTCCATGCCTTCGCACATTCACATTCAATCTTGTTCTATCATCACACTGTGTTTTCATTTCAGCAGATGTTTTCTCAAAATCCATTGCTTGACCTGTGGTATGAGGCTCCTCAGACTGTTCCTTGGTCACTGGATGCTTGGCGTCATATGCCGCATCTCCTGGTAAGCTAGCCTGCCCCTTTTGACTTGATCCTGAAGACTGCTTTGTGTCTCTTGAAACTGTTCTGACAACCGTGTCTCCTAACAAGGGAGCACTATGTGATCCTCTATCCTTTGATCCATTGCCAACTATTGATGCACCTGTCAAAGTCACAAGAAATAGAGATATCAAACAAGAACTTACTGTTTGAAGTTTGATTTCTATTTATGAGAGAGTCATGCAAGCTCTTACAGACGGACAATAGTAAAGTATAATTATAATCATGTGGAGGTTTAAGTAGTTTTTTTTCTCACCTTTTTACCTGTGCAAATAAAATTTTGAAACATATAGGAATAATAGTCTCAATCTTAACAAGATGTTTTGAAATCTGGTAATGACGAACATTCAAATCTCTCAGGATCTACCAAAACTTTTCGTGAATGTTACAATCTCACATAACAAATGAGACAAATAAAATGTATGATCGCCGAGTGACAAGTCAAGGATATTGAACTGTCAGAAAGAACAAGGCACTAGCGCATTGCCTTGGTTTCGAACCCGGGTCGCCGGATTACGAGACCATTGCTCTACCAACTGAGCTATCGCGCCTCCAAATCTACATTGACTTACTTGGTGGTCTTGAATTTGCTGACTGTCTTGAACTCTCATCTGTGGTTGAGCCCATCAGTGGTTGTTGCTGCTGTAGTGATAATGACTGCAAGACAAGCACAGAGAAACTATGTTTATTCACATAAGAATAGGAAAGAGCAGATATTTCTATAATACTGACTGGCTTTGAGTCATAGCTCGAGCATTATATTCTTGTATCACATAAAAACAAAGACATACAATATCATTATTATTATCTATATCAGGCCATCATATCAACATACACGTATTACAAAAGAAGAACTCATGAGACACTTTTGACAGTTATGGTCCCGTTTTCTTTCTTGGTCTTGTATATCTCATATCATGCAGAGTGTTTCTTTAAAATAAAATCGCCAGGATTTTAATATTTGGATGGTTTTTGCGACTTACTTTGTCTACTGCTTAATACATTGTTGACGTATATCACTATACAAACCCAGATATTATTACAGGTTAAATCTAGAATTTAGGGAGTATATACCAGAGAGATTTGCATGAAGAGAAACACTCACCTCCTCTAACTCTGCGCTTGACTTGTGAAGGTTCTCTGATAGTTCAGAAGAGGGATTGGTAGAGTCGATTGAAGTAGACATAGAACGTTTGGAGCCTGAATTGTCTTTAAGCCAACTATCCTGGGTGTTTACATCTTCTTCTTTTCTCTTCTGGAGTTGATTGAGCTCCTGCTGCCAGGCCGGGATCTGAGGAGGAAGAGAAGGAGAATGAAAAGGGTGTCAGAGATGATTTCTTCTCTTTTCTCTAGCAAATGCACCGAAATACAAATTAATTTAGTGATTTAAAGCAGGACTGCACTACTTGTAGGTACTTGCGCCCTTTATATATTAATTAATGCCTTCTCAGTGACTGCTGGTCCCCCATGATCCCCTTCTTCTTATGTCAATTGAGAGCTGATTTGATGAGATAACCACCTGTCAGTGACCACACTTGGTGGTCTAATCCCTCCTGGCCAAACTAGTACAAACGGGCTTTAACTATCGATCAATTCATTATTCCACATTGTAAATTGAAAAAAAACCTGAACGATTTGCACATACATTAAGCAAATATTCAAGTTTCTCACACAACTTTTTACACTCCTAAACTTATGTCCTTAGACATATCAGTACTTATCATACACCCAGAGCTGCCAACCTTGGGCGACCAAAAAAGGAATCATGATGGCAAAAAAAAGGAATCCATAAAAACGAAACTTACAACCACGCGCGACACACTTCCAATGCAGAAATGTTCATTCATCATGCTGTTTTTTCCATACAAGCAGGTAATTTTTTTGTGGTTATTTTGGTATTGTCGGCATTTCATTCTTTTTGAGAAATATTTTCCTCTTCAAGTAGGTTTTAAAATTAGTTTTCTATTGAATTTGTTAGGATTTGTGATAAAATCACCATTTCAGGGCAGATGTTTGACGTGCGGTATGTAAAAAAAAAAATATATGAAGAAAAAACGTAATACCGTAGTTTGAAGGAAAAAACGGAGTAATTCCGGCAAAAACGGAATGGTTGGTAGCTCTGTACACCTCTGTTATTCTAATGCATTTCCTAACTATATTGCATCCATTCTACATCTACTTTGTTTTTCAATAACTCCACATTATAACTCCTTAAATCTAGACATTTAAATGTAGGTCACTTTATAACTTTATCGTTTTCTCTCATGCTTATCGTACTCTCTTTACACTCCCTGTAACATACATACCCTATACTACACTTATTCTCCTCTAAATACAGTCAAAAATTTATTTTCAAATTCTCTTGATCAAATGCACCATAACTGAGGGTTGAATGAAAGTTGAGGGTAAATACTCCACCAGCAACAACGTACAATAACAAATGACCACCACAATCATGCTCATATTATCCTTTGCTGTGCGTAATGGTTTGATTGTAATAATTAACTAAGTATTCCTTACTCGATAGACATCTTCACTCTCGTCTGAAGTGTTGGTGGATTTACGTTTCAGAGGTGCCTCTGGAAGGGTAGCCCTTGGCATATCATCATTGTCACTCAATTCTATAAGCTCCTCTGAAAATAAAACGGTAAGAAATGATGATTATGATGTGCCCAATGGCCCCCAGCCTTTGAGGGTCGATGTCCAGAATGGACCATCTTGGGTAATCTTCGGTTGTAGTCTGACTTAACATACAGTCAAAGGCTGTTCAAGGGAAACATGAGATTTGGACTCTAAAGACAGGTGGTCTTTATGTACATGTTTCGTTAAAATAGGTTTCATTGAGAAACAGTATTCAAGGGGAACAAAATAGACAGGCGGTTGCTAAAGCAGGTTTGACTGTATAAGGATATTTCTGTGTTTTACACCTAATTCAATCAACAGAGTAGGGTTTACTACACAACTGAATAATGTGACTATTGATATTGATTTGAATACAAAATTAAAACCCCTATCTTTTCCCAGAGTGAAAATGTTTGTGCTACTGCAAATGTCTCTTCTTGGTTAAGGGTTGCCTTTAATTTTCATCTCACTTTTCCTTTTCTATTCCAAGCAAAGCATTACAGACAAATTTCTGCTTTTGAAGTACAAGATCTCTGCAACATTGGGTGGTCTTCCGATAGCGCGTACAAAGCTAAACCTGGCTTAACTTAGTCCACACTTTTATGGAGTGCCTGTTGCCAACTCATTTACAGTGTACAGATTATTTCAATTCTGCAATGATAAGTGTCCAAAAAATTGATTTTGCAATAAAATGGGAAGAAAAAGACAGTATGAACTGAATTTCAACAAAGTTTTTGGTAGATTATCTTTGTCATGAATATGGAAGGAGGAAGATGAAACCTAGCATTCCATAGAAGTGTAAACTAAAATTCTTGTTTAGTCTGGACTTAGTCCCGGCTTAACTTATGATAATACCACCCATGGACCCCTTGTGCAAGGCTAAATCATCTTCACAATACAAACATCCTATGGGTAGCATGGATATACATTAGCAATTCAATCTTCAAGAGATCAATGACCTACACAAAAAAAAGTAAAGAATATGTGCAGGGGTCAGTGCAACAAAGACACAACTCCATTTTGGCTATTTTGAGAAAAAGTGGTTTATGTGTCACTGAGCACTTGGGCTTTAGGAATTAAGTCAATGTTTCACTAGCCATTGACTTCAATGGGGTGTTGGGTGGAGTTAAGTCTTTGAGATTCCTGGAAAGCCCACATTTTTCTGAACATTTTGATATCAAATTCTCATTTTGGCAAAATATAGAGTTAGGTCTTTGTGTCACTGACCCCTCGATGTGTCATGCAGCATAACCCTACCGTTGCTGGTGTCTGGTCTTGTTGGAGTACTGGGGATGATGATTGGTGCAGGACCGTATGCTTCTGGTGACGGGTACACCACATTGATGGAGGCACTTGACCCCGACGTGCTGGTCTCATTGGCTAGGACAATGCCTGAGAATCGTAAGCTGCTCACAGTCTCTGATGGGGTGCCTATGATGTGAGAGGCATCCCTGGGGGTCGGTGTGGTATGGACATCTTCCGATGGGGTGCCTATGATATGAGAGGCATCCCTGGAGATTGGTGTAGTATTGACATCTTCTGATGGTGTGCCTATGATGTGAGAAGCATCCCTGGGGGTTGGTGTAGTATGCAATTCTTCTGATGGAGTTCTTTTGAGGTGAGAGTCATCCTTTGATGTTGATGGAGAATGAAAGTCCCCTGTCCCTGTGATATGCATAAAACAGGTATTGTTACATAATAAGCTCAAAAATGCTCAAATATCTTTAAGACTTATAATTTTAATGAAAACAAATCATAAATATCTTACATTTTAAGAACATAAAATAGGCTACCATAATAAACAAAAATTAGAATTTGTTTTTGCATTTTACATAAACGCTTTTCAACTCGGCAAGTGGCAAGGCCCGCACCGAGGCAAAGTCTTGCTCATTCCGTGCCGGCCTCTAGTTTGTTCTGATACACACATCAATATACATCCTGTCCATGGACTTCACTTGACTAAATATTAAAAATATAAAAGTTATCATATTTTCCTATAATACACAACAAGGTTACCTTGCTCATGTGGTGATTTATTTTCTTCATCAAACAGATCTTCCTGTGTTGAAGGCACTTCATTTTCTTCCTCCTCATCTTCTTCTTCTTCTTCAGATGAAGCCTCATCATTTTTTGATGTTTGGGCTTTGACTTCTATTTCCTCCACACTTGTCATCGGCCTGGTGCTCTCTTTTTTGTCATCTTCTTTGTCTCCACTTCTCTGGATGCCTCCACCAAATTCCTGTATTACAAGCAAACAGATATTCTTCAATATCAAAGCTACACTAGATAAAACATAGACAACTTTCAATTCAAGCATTTTATTTCTTTAATTGCGTGGTTCTGTTACCAGATGCAATTTTCTTGTCTTGTTGTTTCATTATATAATCATATTACAAAATAAATGATAATAATTAAAAAAATGTCTTTGTTCTGTCTATACTTTACAGCCATGAAACAATTGTCTTTGGATAACTTCTGAATCAACTCAGAATTACCTTTAAAATCATATTTTGCAAGCAGCACACAATGAGAGGTTCATTGAATTTCTGAACGGAGCATTCCTTGGTGCAACTGTATTAGTTTTGTTGATTCCTGAAGTGACAGGGGCATTCTCCAAGCATACTTATCCCTGTACCATCTACCAACATTCATTGCATGACTATATAAAAAGCTGTACAGCTACGATGGAAACGCCATTAATCTCAACAATAGCAACATGATACATAATTTGTTTTCTCGGCTGTACGTCGTATCACAAAAGATGTCTCACAAAAAGCAATAACATAACACATGCTTGAGCATCACTTTGAAAGAAAACTCAATAGAGAACTGGGGTTCCATTTTCGTCTGAACATTGTATTGTAGGAAAACTATATAACTTTGCAGGGCTTATCTTAAGAGCACTGATGATTGGCAAACTAGCTGTCAAAACACTTCAAAACAATTTTTTTTTCTCGACCACACTTCTTTGTTATCCAGTGTGTAAGCCTCTTTCACTATACATTAATTCTTTATAAGTTTCTTTGTATGAGTTTCATGTACATGTTCATTTCCCCCAGTCTGTCCAGGTTTACTAGTTGCTGGCTGCTTACAACAGGAACAGAAGACATAGCAACACTTACCATTTCCAGGACTGGTTCTGTGGGTTGATTCTTGGTCAGCTCCTCCAACTGCTTGAGCCTGCGTGCCCTGGCTTCTGTAACTGATTCTTCACCTCTTTCGGCTTCAGTGCCTTCTGCCTGGGAGTCCAACACAATAAAACAGGGCGTGCTACTAACCTCTGGAAGACCTCCGTCCAGCTGAGAAGGGTCAGAAGGGTCTTGGGATGGGAGGTCCATTAGTTCCAGTCTTTTATAGGTTTATGGGTGTTTTGTGCATCTACATTCATGAGAAAAAAGATCTATTTTAGTGATGCATGTTTAAGAAGTAGTCTAATGTATGGTACTGTTGAAGATGGAGTTGGGCAAGATCTAAGATGTGGGGACAACAAGCTAAGCATTTTGTTTCAAAAGGCTTCCTTCTATTAGTGTTTTAAGAGCTGTTTGAAATTTCTTTTCACAAAATTGAAAGGTCCATAAGCTTATCACATGTAGATCTACATGTAGGTAATCCAACTGCAATGTTGATTTTGCTGCTAACTAATGACTTAGGTAAAACCTCAGTGATAGCCTATATTTGGTGCTCAGTCAACTCAGAAGTTTGGTGTATTGTGTATTGTCATTATGAACTTGTAAGTTGTAGCTCGTGCACAGTTTTTCCGTTATAATCATTTTGCCTTCGGCGTAGACTAGAAGAGACGCAACCCGGCTGCAAGATTTTCTTCATGGATGTCGATCTTGACCCATAATTTCCTGAAAAGGGACCAGTAAACGGATTGAAGTAGTCAAGTTGGTAAGTGGAACTGAAGTAGTTAAGCATGTAGCTAATTTAGGAATACATCGGATATGCATCCGGTAAAATATCAAAATTAGGGATTAAGTTTGGCCAAGTTTTGTGTAACGTTTCTTTACACAAACGGGTGTACACTAAAGCGTATAGATTCTAGGGCTGTTCTGTCTCTAAAGAGAGAGCCGACCTACCCAAATCAGAGGCTAACGAACGAAAGAGACAGACAAATTCGGTCTAGTCACATACATGTACATACTACATGTTGATATCATGACAACTAGCCGCCCATTATGACTTTGATTCATCGCACCGTCAAGAATCAAACATCATAGCTTTCTTAAATTGTTTTTTGTGCTTCAACTATCACTAGACCTCTTCTGGCCTCACCTAGACCTTTAACCTAAGTTAGAGTCTACCTCAGTAGGCTACCTGTTTATCTCACTTTTCTGCCTCTAATAATACCACCTTCAGGGTGGACTTCCCATTTAATTAAAGTAGCCGTAGCCTGAGCCTGCAAGCAGCTGGACCTAGGGCTAGGGCTCTAGCTATCTAGGGCCTACATAGGTCTAGTACATGTATGAACTATGATCAGATGTTGTAGACCTACCATGTCTAAGTCATCTGCTTGAGCTTTGGCAGTAGATCTATTGCCTTGGCACTGACTGGCAAGGGCATCCCTGAAAATGAAACAAGCGCAATTTCGATTAAGAATTAAAATTACCGGGTATGATATGGAAAGAAGAAGAAGAATTAACTCCGCAGCCCAGCACTCGCCAATCACCTGTCAGTCTCAGTTATGTAGCTCGACAGGCTTTAATTAAATCCAAGTTCCAACTTGTACTTGCGACAGGATCCAGGATTGGTAATGTTATGTTGCATCTGGTTTCAATTTGACCGCGGTACTTTGCTTAGCGCTTCCGCTTGGCACTGGTGACGCTCGACTACCATACAAATCGACCCCGTACTGATTCGTTCACCGATAGCTCGGTCTCCTCGTTCAAATGTAATACCAGGGTCTAGAAAAATAAATAAAGAGGAAGAGACCGAGAAGAAAGAGATGAGAGAGAGAGAGAGAGAGAGAGAGAGAGAGAGAGAGAGAGAGAGAGAGAGAGAGAGAGAGAGAGAGAGAGAGAGAAAGGGGGGGGGGGGGGCTCGCCGGATAATAATAATAATATATATATATATATATATATATATATATATATGTATATATATATTTTTTTTTGGGGGGGGGGGGCAGAGTGGTCTGGAGTTAAATCATAGGCATCGATGAGTTCAATTAAAGTCCATCAGAACAATTGTAGATGAGGGACTAGACCACACTGCAAGGTCACTTATGGACTAGCTCTCAAATAAAATAAGAAAAAAAAGGATTACTGGGGACCAATGATCACCAATCATGCATTGTCTGTTACGGCTCAAGTAGTTATAAGTAGTGCAGTGGGCCTTTAAAGGCGATGCTCGAGCTTGGCTTTGATTGATTCTCAAGATAGATATACTGACCCTCAAGTACAAGGCCTAAGCCTACTGCAAACTGGCCGCCGGATTCAAAAAAACAAAAAAAAAAAATCAATTATGGCCAAATTCACAACCACGTCCGTGATCTCCTAAAACCCAAGAACGTCATCCTTCACTCCATGAAAATTCAGGCCCATTTAGTTTGCTGACAATTTTTGAGTTCGATGCATGCATGCAGAAAATGATCCCAAGTTACATTTTCCCGCTCCCTTCCCCCGAAAATATGAGGAATGAGATCTTTAAAAAAAAAAGTGGCATCAAACCCTGTTACTCTTTAAACACATATCGAATACAATTATTAAAATAAAAAGTTGACTTCTTTGATTGAGATATATTATACACATATAATAAAATACATTAGGCCTACTTAAAAAAAAAATCAGTTTGATGAGTATTGGACACCATGACTTACCGATACTTTTTTTTTACCGATATCTTATTAGGACGAGTTTTATAGATATGTATTAATCTCAGACATGCGTGAACTTGTCCTCGATCTGCCGTAATTTCCGGGGGTTCCCCTGTTCGGTTCTGCTGCACTGAGCTGTTCAACGTCGAGTGCCCAAATCAGCTGAGAAACATGATACAACCTTTTATTTCATTAATGCAACAACAACCTGCCTATAATTTATGTATACCTTGATATCTAACTTCTTTTCCCCCTCTAACAAACCAGTAGTAATTGTTATGTAATGTAAATGACCTTCTGCCCTTGCTTTATTTACAAATTGTATATTTCAACAAACTTATGATCATTCACACATTATTTATTTTGAGTTACCCGACAATCCTAAGAACATATATCTCGCCACGGACATATCCCTTAATTTAAAAAAAATATCGATTTGTTCAATGTCAATGATAAATTGCCATCACTGTATGAACTGCAAAGAATTTAAAAATAAGGGTAAGTAGGTGGTTAAAGCTTATCTGCCGTAGTTTACAGGAGGGATTAGACTGCCCTGCAAGGTCACTGGACAGGTGGTTATCTCATCAACTCGGCTCTCAGTTAACATAAGAAAAAGAGGATCATGGGGGACCAATGGTCACCGATTAGGCATTGTTTGTTACATAGAGGGCGCAAGTAGCTACAAGTAGTGCAGTGGGCCGGTTGGTTGGTCTACATCGTTTGGTTGACAAACTCTTGGTCTAATAATGACCACTAAGGCTAATTATTTGGTTTAATTTCATTTGGTCTATTCTCCAATAAGTCTTCTACCCAGTTAATTGTATATTGCTCATTTTTTCTAACATCCATAAGGTCTAATATAATTTGATCATTGATGATTATTATTATTTAATTATGCCCTGCCTATCATAAAAACTCAAAAGTATTTTTTCCACCTCGGTAAACAACCACTGAGGGACTACTATTATATAGGTGATACAATATACTTTATCTTTTACATTATACATGTTTTTAAGAAGTGTATATATTTTACCCATACGTGTTAAACCTCTCTCTTTCCACCATCCTAAAAGCCGTTTTTTAAGTATTTCTTTGAAATTCAAATATTCTTTTGTTTTAACATCTAAAAAACAACAACACGAAAACCCTATAGTTTAACTTGCTGAACCGTTTCCAAACAAGGGTATCTGGGGTCTATCATTATCCTATCCATCCACTAAAGTTTGTTTTTTCCGTTATTGACTTTAAGACCGCTAGCTCAGTTTCCCGAATTCGTCAAATAAAAGATATTGTAGCCTATTTAAAGAATTTGTATCTTTCCCAAACAGAGAAATATCGTTGGCATACAATATTTGTTTAATTTCATTTTTATCCAAATTGAACTCCCTTGATAGTATTACCTGGTCTTAATGCCAGCGCCAATATTTCGATAGCTAACAGAAACACATGGCGACAAAGAACCCCCTGTCTGACATCTCTTTTTTGTTTTGTTTAAAGGGATAGTTGAGTTCTTGTTTAAGACCGCAAATGACTTCAAAAAGCATGGTTGTTGCTCTTATTCTTATTTATGACATTTTTAGTGCCCTTTTATGAACTAAAATTGCTATGAAGGTAATAGACCCCGAAATGTGAAAAATTTAGATCAAATACGATCATACCAATTCAGCCCCACTAAAAAAAAAAAAAAATACGATGATCGTTAATTAATTAATTAATTAATATACAGGGGCCAGCTGGTTGTGCGTATAACCCAACACGAAAAAGTCAATATTGGCATTGCTGGAATCGGGCGCTATCTCGTTTTTTCAACAACTGGTTGCCCCACGAATATTAGAAATTGTTATATTTACGAATATTTCAGCCGTCTCTGAACTGATTTTGATCAAACAAAGACGATTTCGTCATTTAAATTGTATGTTCTTTCAAATTTGTCACTCAGTTTTTCATTATTATGAGCGGCTTCATTAAAAACTTTTTATTAAGCGCAATGCAAAATGTGACTCTTATTATCATAAAACAAAAAATGATGATAATAATATAACTACTACTGAAATGTACTACAAATACGGAATAATAACAACCAACAAATACATATTTATATAATGTATATATGTTATTTGTTATGACATATATTATGTGGGGTGAGGTAAATGGGTGTCTGCTTGAAAAGCACTGGGCGCTGATATTAAACGGCTGCCGGAGCTAAAGCTAGGGTAATAATGTCTAAAGCTCTTTGGAAGCGCCTATTATAATGTGTTATGTGCTACCGGACTATTATTATATACCTTACAATGTCATTAGAATGACATATGCAAGGAAAGTTGTTATGATGTCCGATTAATGTACCATTTAGGGTTTAGATGTCCTGTTATTGTTAATACAACATGTAGGGTTATATATGTCATATATTAAAATTCATATGTCACATATTAATATTAATATGCATAAATTTGTACGAAAAATTTATGTGGACAACTCCATGTATCATGTTGACTAAAAAGTAAACAAAAGATGCACCGATTCGCTTTCTCTGCACATGTCACATATCAAACTCAAACAAAACTTGGTTATAGAATGAAACATATTTTATGAGTCTCTGATAAAAAAGAATAGTACATGTTCAAAATAAAATGTAATATCATACAGGTATATATTTCCAAACAGCGTCGTGAATATATACTCAGATACATATGCTACTTATACCAGTTCAATATTACACTCTTATAATTTGATCAGATATATTTCAATATAACACTCTTCTTATAGCACACAATAGGTTATGAATAAGTACATGGATCTATTCAATATACTGAAACTACTGCTGTATCATGTTTTCTATCACTAAAATAACAACTACTGCTAATTGAAAATGGTTAAAACCTAAAGGTCTATTAACTATGTACTTTATACACTTTCAAAGTTTGACAACAAAAATGAAATCACTACACATGTAAAAACTGTCGACATATCATACTTTTATGAAGAGCACACATAAATGTAGCATTAATGATCACATATTCAAACGGTGCATTATGAAGAAGAAGAAGAAAAAATAAAGTCTTCTAAGAAAATGATGCATTTGTCAAAATTTGTTATTGAAAGAATGTCTTCTTCTTGCAGTTAAGTGCTGCTTCAAGGTGATGAAGATAATCGCACGGGTTGTGTGTGTATATGTGGAGTCTTCGACGACTACACTTTGAAAAGTGAAGCTTGAGCTCTGGTTTCTTCTTTTTTGTTTTTTCTTGTAGTTTATAGAATATCACAGACTTAATGAATATGAATGCTATTCAAATTCTATCATTTTAAACTGTGACGAGTAATACAAGTCATTAACTGAACAAATTTGGAACTTTCACATGCACATGTAGTCCCATATTGACATTGTGTACTGTGCCCTGACAATGCTTGGTGACTACAAAACCTCAAATAATACACCGATTCTTGTATATAACATGCTAAACCCTTCCCATTGGTTTTCAGGCAGTTTCTTTCAAAATTCAGTTGCTTGACTAAAATTCAACCCTCTCCTTAACTAAGTATCAAGTATGATATAGAATGATAATAGTTGGAAAGATAAGAGGATTAAAAAAGCACACATATATATGAAAGAAATACATATCATAGCAATCCGATTATCCGAGAAGTCAATATGATAACAACTAACAAACACTTAACTTCTACATACTAGGATATTGTTTCGTGACATACAAATAGATGTATACTCGAACTTGGTAGAATTAAAAAGAAAAAAAAAACAAAACTGTTGATGGGGTAGCATAAACCAAGCACACATCTTGAAAACAAAATCAGGGAGTAAAAAACAAAACAAACATACACGGGAATGAATAGAGAATGTATATGAATATGAAATATGGATATATACTTTTTTTTTCATACACGATACTATTCAAGAGTGAAAGCATGCAATCAGTATCGCCAGAATATTGAAAGCTTTCCGTAGATCCCATGGAACTTTAATAGCTAGAGATATTTAAAAACAATTCATTTAAGTATAACAATTACCTGCTAAATTAATTACAACCATAACAATCCCAATAGGTTTTGACTTACACCTAAGCCACACACCTATATTGCCTCCAAGCCACCCCATACTGACTCGATCCAGAGTCCAAACCTATATCAACTCTTGGCTTTTCCGGTTAATGTAATTGTTCAGTCCGTATAGGGTCGCCTCTGTACTCGGCTAATTTGTAAATTGACTTTTCCAAAATCATCTGAAAATATACTTCTACGATTCTTAATTTATCCTTAGACTCTAGGAGACAGCGCCTTGTTTCCCCTAGAAAAGGTGCGACATAAATCATCATTTTATTGTCGGTCTGTGACTGGGGTATAAAGTCTGCTGAGTTGTTTCTTTAAATGTCCGTAATTTCTACATGAATAGATCGATGTCAAACGAAACATGACAGACAAAAGGGAAATTTTGGAATGGGATTTCTGGACTTATCATGCGTTATTGTCAATATCGGGCTTCTCGTAGACTGGGTTAGCAATGCCAGGTTCACCGGGCATCGAGACAGGACTAATGTTGTCATTTTCCCGGTTCTTGTACTTGATGGCGAACGGTGTGTTGCCAAAGCCTGATCGTCGAATATAGAACCAGGCGACAACGAGCATGATGACGACGCCGACGATGACCAGAGTTAGGATGACACCGAGTGCGACGCTGGCTCTTGAACCACCACCACTGCGTTTCTGATTCTCTCGTGCAGCCGTTCTTGCCTTGACTGTGAGTGTAAGAACAAAATAAAATGTTTTTAAAAGTAATATTGCGATTAACAAATACATTTAAAGGGAGGCTTTACTTCTTTAGCAAGAAGGATTAGACCACCCAGTGAGCCATCGAGGTCACTGTGACAGGTGGCTATCTCATTAACTCAGCTCTCATTCAACATAAGAAAAAGAGGATCATGGGGGACCAACAGGCACCGATTTGGGAAGTTTTCTATATAGAGGGAGCAAGTAGCTACAAGTAGGACAGTGTGCCTTTAAAACAAAATCGTAATCAATCAATTAACCTTCCACTTGGCTATTGAATCGATAATTAGAGTAACAAGGGATATAAATTTAAAGGAAAATACCCCAGTGTAAAGCAAAAAATTCGGATAGACAAATAAATGTAAGTATGAAAGTATATATCAAACAATGTGCAAGAAGGTGCACTAATGTACATCGAAAATTTGAGATCACAATAAAGATCGGTTATGAGAAGTGATGTCAGGGATGGACTAATTCTCCATTTATTGTGTAGTAGAAGTTGCTAAACTTTGGAATATTCCTAGTAAGTTCTTACAAAGTACAAAGTACTACGAAATAGGAAATCATGAGTATGAGGACTAACAAAAATACAAAAGCCATTGTTAGCAGTTGCCATGAGAACGTCATGTCATAATGCTAATAGTGACTTTGGGACAAGAGCTCTGCATGGAGGAAAGATGCTCACTTAATATAAGATGCGACATTATTATCATGCAGCAACTATATACGACAGTCACTGTGAGGAGTTTTTGTGCAGTATATTCTAGACAACCTAATAAAGACTGTCATAAATACTCTTTGTACCATGAAACAATAAATTGTAGAGCATATAGAACGCACTTCCTCCGGCTGCAAATTACGCCCCTGATCTGATTACATTTAAAGTACAGAACACTCAAGCGATGCAGGCAGCGATAGTTTGATGGTCTACACGTCGACAATAATACCCACTTCCAGATATTTTGTGTGCAGTATCTTCAAGACAAGACAAAACAACCACTGTATTTTCACTGTCACGGCTGCCCTCTATGTTCAGATAACGAGGATCAACTTGGTTTTCGATAACATGACAAAGGAATCCAAACACTTACCCACGTCGCAACTTGCTTGCGAAATGGTGATGTTATCTAGAGCGATTAATCCATCAGTCTTGTTGTTACCAAAGTATGTGATCAATACGATCTGTTAAAAGAAGAAGCACAGAAGGATGGAAAATACGAAACACATAATAACCTTGTTATTTAATACTTATACATGAACATTTGGTTATTTGCTTATCAATTCAAAATACTTAAACGAAAAACGTTCATAGAATCAAAAAACTACATTAATTCGAAATGCAATTGAATCAGCTATGTGAGTTATGAGTGCAAAATACTTCAATAGCAGTTTGATTAAAGGCCATCTGGCTTTTCAAAGAAAGGGAAAACTTCATAATTCTGGTGATCATGGGAGTGAATTATTTCACTGACTGGCCTTAAGAGGAAAAGGCTATAGCCTACAAGGTTCGACCAATTTTGGTTAAATTAGGATCAACTATAGTGCATTGCATGAATGAAAGTAGGAGAGATATGAGACTTCCCACGCCAAATTACAGTGGAATCAACTCCAAAGTTGTGGTTTGAATTAATCATTTGGGAGTGGTTTCAATATTTTACATAACATGAATATACACTTCGTAATGAAGGTACTTTAAATGACTCCTATAAAATGGAGTGCATTTCAACTCCTAAATGAGTGGATGTCAATTCCCGGAAAGGAATCCACTCTTGTACATCAAGCAATACCTGAAATGTGTCTTCGGTTAAAAGACTAAGATCAAGTTTAAGGTCAAAGTGGGTCCATTTTGCCGCATTAGTTGTATTGACGGTCTGCAAATTCCTCCAGTTCGAGTTCTGGTATTCCACGGCCACTACGAGTTTCATTGCAGGGTCATTCTGGACGGTGACATCATAAGACAGACAGTGATCCATTGCCTTTGTCGGGATCCGTGGAGCGAAGAGAGAGGCTGTAGGGCCGGGAACTTTGGTATCACCCTTGATGAACAAGAATGAACCAACTTGGTCTGGAAAAAACAGAGGTAATGAAATTAACAGCACATTAACAACGGTAAGATGTCAACCTTACGATTATGTAGGCTAGGCCACACAAGCCCACATTCAGTAGACTCGACTGATTACTATTGACAGAATGTATGCTTTGAATTTGTTTCTGATACCCATTATAGGAACTTTTTTACCCAAACTCTTCAGTTTTTGTTCTCACCGGGGTAGTCCTTAAAAGGTCTCGTTATTCGTTCATAAAAAATAACTAGTTCCGACAGAGTTTTGAAAGTTAGTTCAATCAGTTCATTGAACCAACTATACTTTTGGATTAATTCTGGGTATGACTTCTTGTTGATTTTCAAAGAAAAAAAAAGAGAAGCTTGAAGTTTCGGATATTATATGATGGTATAAAATGTGCTTTAAAAAAACTTGTTCTATGCTTCTTCTTATATTCGCTTTTTTTTCTTTCTTTTTCTTTTTCTTCTTGTTCTTGTTCTTCTTCTTATTATCATGGTCGGGACGATATCTGACCGGGTTGATATCGAACACTTGATTATAGTGGCCCTCACCCGATGAGTTCCCAAGGGGTGAAGGTTCGGTGCCTCCTTTTCTTCTTCTTCATCTTTATCTTCTTCCTATCATTATTATAATCGTCATGACGATGTCTGACCGAAGTTTATAGTTATTGAAAACTTGATTATTATGGCGATTACCTGAGGAGTTGCCGAGGGGTAATGGTTCAGTGCCTCTTCTTCTTCATCTTCTTCTTGTTATTATCATTATCGTCAGGCCGATGTCTGACCGATTTTTATAATTACTGAGAACTAGATTATTATGGCACATACCTGAGGAGTTGCCGAGGGGTGAAGGTTCAGTGCCTCTGCTGTCATACCAAATCCATTCCAACAAGTCTGCATCGCCTTGTCTGTAGTAACAGGACTCGTAGTCTGCGTCAAATCCACACGTGCTTTCTGGTTCAAACCCACTGCATGGCGTGCGGAGAAACCTTGGAAATAGGAACAAGAACATAAAGAAGGTAAGGTAGGCTATTCTCTATGATCCGTTCTAGCATTAAAAACCCGTTTGCTACACATTTTTGCACGACATGGATTATTTTGATGACCGTTATACAGGAGGCATTTTCTTTCCAACATGGGAATACTTCAGCGACTGGTTGTTTTTACGTTCTATGTATCGTTCAAAAATGAATACGTAGTAAAAAGTGATAACATTCTTTTATTACAAGCCAACCTGATTTTATTTGGAGCGTTTTTCATTAAACATATTAGAAAAATATACATGTAATCATAAATAATACTAGTCATAATAATACTACTTCTAATAATAATAATAACAACAACATCAATAGTATATACAAATAAAGAAAATATTAATACTAACAAAATTAATACTTATCTACGAGTAAAAATTATGTTTCTTAGCGTTGTACTCTAATTACCCCGGCATTAGTGAGTTTAATACCCTAATACGGCGCTCTGGCATTCGAGGAAATTAATCCTACAGGGTACTCATTTACATCACCTGGGTGGAGAGTGCCAATGGATATTAATGCTGCGGTGGGACTCAAACCGCAAGCCATGTGATCCACAGTCTGGTGACGTATCCACTAGACCACGACACTACTATGATTTTAATCTTTGATTATATTTTCACTTTTTTGAAAAGACACTTTTGACTCACACTGACTGACGTATGATCCCGTCATCGATATTTTTCTTAAACAGTCATTACTGTTATGATAATGCTGGAGGAAGGGGCTTACCTGATGTCATCGATACCAATATCTCCTTGACTTCCTGTGCCAACCTTTGCTTCGAAAGTTATCTGAAAAGTTGAGGAAATATGACAAGACCAGCATGGTAATGATAAACAGGAGCATCATACAAGGTGAATTCACACACAGACAAATTTGTGAGATTCAGAAATCGATTTTTGAATCGCGATCAGATCTCACTTTTTTTTCTCTGTGTGAACCTAAAAATCCCACTAAAAAGTGAGATCCTGATTGCGATCCGAATCTCACTTAAAGTGCGATTATTTAACTTATTGTGATTATTGAAATAATCGCGATTATTTGGCAAAGTGTGAGAAAAAAAGATAAGTATGAACGTTGGCAACAAAGTGAGATTCGAATCCCGATCTAAATCTCATTAAAATTAATTTGTATGTATTAATAGGCCTGTTTAATAAATTACTAGCATTATTTTATACAAGATTTTACGCGCACAGGGTACTGACCAATATGATAAAGAGCAATATTACAACTTTATGCCCGTTTTATAAATTGCAGACGAGGAGTCATTTCAACCGTTTTTAATATTACTTCCGCTAATTACGCCGATGGAGACAATTAGTACACGTGTTAGTAATGCAACGCAAGGTTCAGATGTCCATTCATTGTTCATACGATGTCACTATTAATGTGTTTTTGACGCAACCCAACGTCAGCGAAAAAACAACTCGTGCGCACCGGGCTTTATGACGGCTGCACAGGAGGCGTGATTTCGCTAATGTTGGACTGTACTTGAGAGCGTTACAGTACTCAAAGTTTATGTAAAATTAAAAGAACTGCACACATCAAGTTAAACTACTGGCGAATACACTAAATGCCTTCAAAAGCTTCATTAGATAGGCAAGAACCCAATCAAAGGGATTTCTCATGTGTTATACTGGAACAGCATCCGCCAAGTCAGGACCCAATGCTTTATTATGAAGTAAACAAAACTTTTTATCTTGAATGACTGTTGAAGGAGGGTAATAAGTTTATTGAACAGATACCACATTGACTTGGATGATAATTCTACCATTTACTTTGTAATTATCTACGATGTCTTTGATGTCGACGTAAGCTGACTGCCAGCGATCTGCCATCTTTGATGTCTGGAAGATAGGCTTTTCTTCATAATGAGGAGCACTCCACAGCACTGTGAGTGAGCCAATATCGTCTCCAGTCATGTAGTAGTAAAACTGCAGGCATATGCGATCACCGGTAGAGGCAAGAGGACGGGATGTAAAGCGTGCTCTGTCACCTGGGCGCTGAGGTTGAGATGCCTCTGCTAACAGGTAATATCCTATACAGAGAGAGAAAGAGAGAGAGAGAGAGAGATACTCTCGTGTATTATTTTGCTGCCATTTTCACCATTCAAATCAATTCAGATCACGCATCAAGTTTGCACTGTTTTAGAGGCACCGGTAAAATTATGGAGTCTCTTCATGACAAACATGCCATAGTGCTATGCCAGTCACCTCAGAGAGTTCATTGTTTTTACCAGAGCCTATATCAGTGCAAGATATTGCGGATTACCATATGCATGGATAAAGCCACTTTGCACATTTTGGCAACATTTTGTCGGGTAAGCACAACACAGGCTTCAATGTTGTCTAATAACGGGCCGAAACAAACATTAGCAGACCGCTGCACCCTGACCCTGACGCATGCGACGGCGGAATTTTCCCGACTTTAAAATTCGCCGTGGACCAGTAGATAATAATGGCCAACTTTCAATGTTTTATGATATCTTTTAATATGAGATCGCAGTGGATTTCAGATCACACAATAATTGATGTAATACCTGATGAATTTCTAAAGGTGTGGTCAAAGGGTGGCCCCGTGTTGACGGTTGCTGTGTTGCCCACATTGCGTTGCCAAAAAAAAATATCAGAACGCTGCCACCAGCGAAACTTTGTTTCCAGCACCTGAACATAATTGCACATGCCGTCTCCTTGTCCGTCCTCAAAGTTACAGTCCGCGCTGATGGGCGGAGTCGTTGGCACGGCTGTAGGAGAATACCGCCAGGGTGAAAAGAATGATACGATCAGGGCGATTCCGAAAGGTAGCTTGATCTGAATTATATTAAAATTTACGAACTCTTTAGATAGCATTCATTGGTGTAATTCTCCCAATGATTGATAAAATCATTGTGGGGTGCACAACTACCCTTGTGATATCACAGCAATTAAAAAAGTATATACACTGAAGGTTGCCGAATCTAGATGAGGTCAGTACGGAATAGAGAATCTTTATACCTTCAGCTACGGTCACAAAGGTTCGTACGAACGATGCGTTCGTGTTCATATGAATCTCCCTGTTCGTAGATGGGGCATAGTTCCTACGTCCTTCTTACGGTACGAACGCCGTTTAATTTTTTTTTTTTTTTTTCGTAAGAATGCCTTGAGTTCTTCTTACGTCAGACTTACGGCCATCTAACAAGGTTTGTTCCCAAGTCATTCGTAAGAAGATATTGCGATTTTTTGGACATTTTGTCGGGTTGCAAAAAAGCGCAGCACAAATTGTACGTACACCTTACGAGCACCTTACAAAAGCCTTACGAACGCCAGGGGTCGTTCGTACGAAGGCCATACGAATCTCCGTTCGTAAGGCGTTCTTACGAACGCCATAAGAGCCTTCTATGAGCAACTTAAGGCGTTCTTACGATCATCGTAATAATTTTAAGGCTTCTAGAATTGTCTCTCGACCCTACGAAATGCACGAAGATCTTGCGTGGTTCTTACGATGTTCTTACAACGTTCGTCCGGCTGCCTTACGAAGAGAGGGTTTCGTACGAGGTTGAAAAAAAATCTTGGACAAGACCATACATTTACCAATCTTTGTGAACGTAGCTTAAGCCTCGGTCACAAATGCCTTTACGAACTGCTACGAACGCAGTACGAACGATTTTCAGACAATGGAAATTCGGGAAGACAATGGAAAAAGAGGGAGATTCGTACAAACGCATCGATCGTACGAACCTTTGTGACCGTAGCTTTATCTGACGGCGTTTTCATGTCTTTCGTAAGAAGATCTTTTTGTCGGGTTGCAAAAAAAGCGCTTATTTAATGTCATAAATTGTGCACGTACATCTTAAGCTATTCTCACAATGGTTCCATGATTGCAGATAAGTTGTAGTAGGAATAATAATGTCACAAGCGTCACATGTTTTGAGATTGGAAGAAGAGATGAAAAAGGATGAAGAGGGGACAAAGAAAAAGAAAGACAAATAAAACGCTGAGAACACTATCTTACGCCTCATGCACTTCTGGTTGAGTAGCTGAATATCATCAATGGCTGTTTCTGTGGTGGCCCACATAAACCCGATAATTCCTTCAAAGACGACCTAAAAAATAATCATGCAGAAAAAAAAATCAAATAAAAATCTTTTCCTGCAGGTAAATTATTATTTAGTTTTCATATTGCAAGAAAATGAAATCGCATGTAAAGTTAGGCCGATACAGCAAAAAATTCTTTGCTAGGGAGAGTTACCAGCTTGTTCGAAAAACTGAGAATAGGTATAATAAATAAAAAAAACTACAACAAATGCAAAATATTTCATATTTAAAGCAATTCAAACAAGATTGATGTATCATGATATTCATCCATCAATCTATACATCTACACTGCTATTGTGAATTCTATATGAAACAACCAACCTCGTAAAATACGCACAGAGCACAGTTTCACCGGGAATGGAGAGTGACGCCTTCCCCCGATTACTAAGTCAAATTTTGCAAAAACAGTGGAAGATATAAAAGCTACACATTCGGACACCTAAATTACATGTTCTAATGAGATGACTATTTACACATCGTGTTGTTTGAAGAAAGAAATCATGGAGGGTGAGCGCCGCTTCCCTACCATATTCGTCTCGTCGCTTATATGAACTTACATAGAAAGGATATGTTGAAGGTGGGATGTCAAGGAATGCTTGCGTCCATTTGGGTCCGTGGTCACCATAGAAAACAAGGTCGGGGTCAAAGTTCAATGTTTCACCATGATTTAAGATGTAAACGTTAAAGAAATCCGCGAATCTCCCATTCAGAATAAACCAGAATGACAGACAGCGTGGGTTGGACGACCCCTGGAGTAGCGGGGTCATTGTTCGAGCATTATCGTTGGTTAAATGATTCCACCATTCCATGACCTGAAGAAGCATAAAGTGACCTGTAAGTTGGATAAAAAGATTAAAAACAAAAATCTTACGCTATATAAGAAAACAGTTTAACTGGGTCAACAGAACCTCATAACAGAAACTTCATGTAGTTGGTAAAAGGTTGAACATAAATTGCTCACATAATACGAACACCATGAATATTCGACATTAGGGATAATTATAAAAAATAATTTTAATAACAGTAATAATAATAATTATAATTATAATAATAATGATAATAATAATAATGAATATATCTTCTTTATATACACATGGTAGCCATATTAGTATCAATACTTCTATTCCTGCGGACCCTGAGATTATAATTATCCAAGGTACCCATTTGCACCCGGCTGAGTGGAGAGTAGTAAATGTGGAAAAGTGCCGGGCTGGGGTTCCACTACACCACGACACCTCCACTTAAAGCTTATCAACACAAGTGTGGCTAGGAGGGATTAGACCACACAGCGAGGTCACTGACAGGTGGCTATCTCATCAACTCAGCTCTCAAATAACATACGAAATAGAGGATCATGGGGGACCAACAGGCACCGATTGGGGAAGTTTTCTATATAGAGGGAGCAAGTAGCTACAAGTAATGCATGTGAATCTAAAACCAGTGAAAACTTGGACCACAAGCACTTGTTTATACCTTGATTAGTGCCCAGAGTGTGGTCCTTGTGAACAGTTTCGAACCACCATCTCCAGGTGACAGTACCCTTATGGCGAACCCAGTCAAAGATATCATCATAGGCCTGAGTGAAGTTGCAGTAGTCCTGCTCAAAGGTGCACTGAAGGGCATTCCAAGGTCGAGGGGTAGTGGTTGCCGGAGGAAAATCGGTGGTAACTGCATGAAGAACATATTATTTAAGGTCTTTTTAACATCTTTGACACAGAAGGTCCCCGTGGATCCGCAGATGGTGGTATGGTTTTTATTAAGGCTTGTGTCAGCTACGCTTGAAAGGCAAACACATGGACCTAGATATTCTTTTAAAGCTTATTAGAAAACTTTCTCTTACAAAACACTTTATCCGTGTGAGATTTGACAGAATTGATACAGAGTAAATCACCCTCCTGACCAAATAGTTTAAACTCGTGATATATTCAGCACATTCACCATTGATTGCATGTACTAAAATATCAACATCAGATTGTATTCTACGAATGACTTCAAAATACATAAGGGAATTACATGAATGCTTAAAGTGTCAACCACTGTATCGAAATTGAGGAGTCCATGAGGGTGCTATATGGCTTTAAAGGTAGTTAGACGGGCTTTTCCTTATGTTTCATTCAGAAGAAGTGTACACAACTTAACAGCAAATTACTTTGATAATATCTACATTATATATAGTTCATTTCCTCGAATTGCATCGATTTTTGTTCATGATGTATATGCAGCTACATTCGTTCATAATACATTCAGCTCAGTTCTTTTTTTAAAATCTGTTTCCAAACAGTGCACTTACATGGCGGACAACTTCTACTTTGGTAGACTTTGATGTCATCTAGAGCTACATCATCTCGTCTGGATACCCCACGTTTTCCCTCGAATACCACCTATATTAACAATAATAATAATAATAATCAGTTTTTATATAAAGATATGAGTGCATAAGTGATCAACATCGATACCATCCTGGAAAGAACATACCGATGTAGGCCTCATATTAAAGATCAGTCAGAGATATTTAAAAAAACGGGAGATTCCCACTCCAACAAACATTACACCTCTTATTTCATTGGATTATCAAATTCCAGAACTGAATGTTTCAATTACATGTACTTCACGTCCCCCCCCCCTTTTTTTTTTTTTTTTTAAAACTTTTCTTTAAAAGAGGTAACGGCTGTTCCAAGTCTTAGGATCCATATATGACAAATAAGGTAGCAATCCTAGAAAAACCCGCTTTGAGAACTATCGATCAAGAAATGCAATTTGGAATCTCTAATGGGCATACTGGAGGTAGTCTGGTGGTTGAAACACTTGACTGGAATAGTGAGGGTCGTGTGTTTGAGCCTCCGTGTGGCACTAGTGTCCTTTGGCAAGACATTAATTTTATCTACCACTCCCCACCCAGGTGTTAAAAGGAATTATTTGAATGGTGTGAGCAGCAACATTGGTAGCCCATCTAGAAACGGGGTAATATTGGAATGCATTGAGCATCTTGCTTGTTGGGTCGCGTGATATTGAATTATCCAACATTATTATTGTTTTTATTATGATTATCATTATCTATCATTATCATCATATTTATTATTATCAACATCGTCATCGTCATCATCATCATCCTCATCATCATCATTATCATTATTATAAAACCAAAGGTGTCACCTTAAACGGTCGATTGAGCATATTGATGTTAACCGTTGCCCGATGCCAGTAGTCACCATGATCCCCAGTCTGGGTCCAGGTCGGCGTAGAGGGCAGTGGACCGTCCGATGCCATGATGTAAACATTCAGCTCCTCCACGTCTACTCCATACATGTGGTACCAAAACTCGAGACAAGATGGCCGCCTCTGAGCACCAACTTCCGGTGACGTCAGGCGCGCGTACGAGTTACGTGGCGTGGACCAGCTTGCCTCGATGTACATGAAGAATCCTGGTGAAATGAATTTTGAGATTGGAGTGATAAGTTTTGCTAGAAAACCATGGTGACTAAGTTTTCGAATTCCTTCCGAGAATGAAGGAATTATTTTACATTCACATATTTTTTACATATCTATGCACAAAACACAGACGTAAGTACAAGAAATGCAGGCTGTCTTTATATCTAAAAGAATGAGTATCCGGTACAGAACTTTCTGCACTGTTGACCATATTACTTGGATATTCATGTACTGACGCCCCTCACTGTTGGACGATGACATCGGATCCGTCCAGCAGCCATGCCTTGCGACCCTGCCGCATCCCAACGATTGGACGGAGGACACTGATCCCAACCCTGCGACGACTCTGCATCTGGGGCTATACCACCTCCGCCCCTGCCTGGACAGTCCCAACAACCACTGTCCAGAATGATACATGGTACGTGCTGTTCGCGTCTTTGTCGCTCGTCTGTGGATGTTGCCCTACCCTCTACCGTGGACACGCCATTACGGCCACATGTTGATGTAGCCCCTACCCCCTGATGTCGCCTTCCCTGCCCCTTTGACCCAGCAGGCCAGTGCTCCATCCATCGCCCATACCTCCACCCAGATTCTCCAGAGACTCATTGTATTTAAACTTCATTTTAATATCTTCGTTGTTCCAGAAGTTCTTACGATTTAATTTTAATTCTGAAGTCAGTTCCTTTTAAAGGTATTCTTCGATTCAGCTACTACTGTAATGGCTTCATTTCTAGCTCTCTTGAAAAATTCTCTGACATGTTAACTTACGGTGACTTCTGAAAGCGCTTCATTGCTTTATGTTTAGTGTGTATTATGTTCTTGAAAGCGGCATTCATCCACAGGGGTTTTGGGGTGGGATCGAGCTTCGACTTTACGCGAAAGCATCGTGAATACGTAATGAGTCTTAGCGCATTTTCTCACTCCTTAGTCTCTGTTGAAGAAAGCAAAGTATTCAATTTTGTTAAGTTTCCTGTAGACTTTCTGTCAGGACCAAACTAAATTCCATTACTAAGTCATCACTTGTGCCCGATATGTAACATGAGGTTCTACCATGTTTTCTTGATTTGTTATTATAAGGTCCGACACGTTTGACTTCTGAACATCTCTCACTCTAATAGGATGACTTAAGAGTTGTGATAAAAATTGATCCTGTAGAACTTCAGTAAACTCACTAGCAAAACAAGTGTCATGTCCTAGTGCAGAAGGAATCTCCCAATCAATATTTAGTAAGTTTGTGAAGTCTCCGATAGTAAAAAGCGTACTATATTACATCTTCTCAGTTTTCTCAATGAGGTTCAAAACGTCTTAAATATTTGATCGGCTGCTGTGCGAGCTTCTATAGATACATCCTAAAAACGTCTCTTCCGATCCATTCTGGAATTGTGTACTAAACATTTTCTTCATAGTCATCTCCACTGAAGACAAGTTCTTGCGAATGAAGATTTAGTTTACAATATATTGCTATAAGTACACCCCTTCGATTGATTCAATGAATCAGTTGACGCCGTGGTTTAACGACTCTAGTTGTTTCGTCGACACCGATCTTTCGCTAGTTCCTTGCATCTCTGGATACAAAACTCGTTTCTCTCTGATTTGGCAAAGCTGGGGCGCATAGACTGAATGTAATTGATTGGCGCAGTGTCACTGCCTCCCCTGCAGCCAGTATTCGTTTTTATAACTTGCGCCCGTTGTACATCCGTCTACTGCTGGCATGATTTTTGACGCACTGTAGGAGTGTGACAACATACGACAAGGTATGCAAAATAAACAGTGTAAACATTCATTAGACTACTGTCACATGCACTAATTAGCTTAACCTTGATATGATTTTTGTCACCGTAGATATATAACGCAATTCAAAATAACTTCTCGTATTCAACAATTACAGTCATGACTGGTCTGTCTACTGGCGCTTACCTAGCTCATTTCCGAGCGTGTGATCAGCCGAAGGTCCGGTAAACCTCCACCATGTACCGCGGTTAGCCCAGGTCCAATCAAATTGATCGTCCTTGTTCTGCTCGTAGTAACATATTTCGGCTTCCTCAAAGTCACAGTTCACACTGCTAAAATTCTTGATGTGATCTGGAAAAAAGGAAAGTGAACAAAGTTTCAGTAGGTGCACATGGATTTGGATGAATATAGCATTCTTTCGAGAAGTTCCTGAGATCTAACTACTTTGCATGCGATCGAGAAGACATATTTTTTTCTTCGGGAATTAATCTTTACAAATATGTACGAATGAGACCAATCTAGTTGCAATTACATTAAATGAACAGCTCTGATATCAACACACAGGGGCGGATCTAGCTTTTTGCTAAGGGGGGGGGGGGGGGTTTGACCAAAATAATGACGATGCAGAGCATCGTCCACGAGCCGCGTAGCGGCGAGCCGATTTTTTTTGGGGTGTTTATTTGAACCCCGTAAGTGATGTTTTCCTGGCATCTATTAACACAATGGAGACCATAAAAAGCAGTGCATGGTAACGTCTTTTTAAATCAAGTAACAGCTTAATACACAGTTATATCCAGCCTTTTTATCATGTGTTTGGTTAAGTTACCAGATGAGTTGAATATCTTCTCACAATATTTGCACTTGAAAGGGTTTCTCTCCAGCGTGCGTTCTTTTTTCTTTCTTTTTTCTTTCTTTTTTTTTTGTTTTTTTTTTTTTTTTTTTTGGGCCGCCCAAGGGGGGGGGGGGGGGTTGAACCCCCTAAACCCCCCCGTAGATCCGCGCCTGACACATTGTAAAAACCTTTATTTAAAGTAGCCACACAAAGAATCAAAAGTGTTTTGAATTGATGCAAAACCCATATCATTGTGAAGGGGAAGCCTTGCCGATCAAATACAACAACTCTTCTCTTCAAAATACTTTTGGGGCCCGCAGTATTCAACTCTAGAAAATGTTAGTTTTGAGATCCAGATTTTCTGCCTTCAGCGGTCCTTTGTAGAGCGTCAATATTTGTGACGTCACATACGGGACACGGCTGGCTACACGGTACTGAGCTGTTTGTCCAGTGTGTGACGTCACTATTCAGAGCTCGCTACGCTTGTGTGTTTGACTTACGTTCAGGGGCGTTCGGGGGTCTAAGGAGGGTTTTGAACAATTGCATTTTACGCCTTTCTATGATATCTATATGATTTCTCAGCAAATTGTTCGTGTTTTTCAAGAGAAAATCTTTCCATCCATATGTAATTTGTTCTAATTATTAGTTGTTAGTGAATTTTCTTCGTGTAGCTCCTTTAAGGCATCGTAATAAGATAGCAACTTCATCATGTTTAGGAAGAAAAGAAATATAAACATTTCTACAATCATTTAAAAGAAAATACTAGACATTGCTCGAAAATGAAAAATACCAATTTCACTCAAACTAAAATACGTTCAAAATGTCAAGCAGATCAAACATTATTTAGAAAGGAATGTATACACATAATCTCTAAAGTCTAAACAGATTAATGATACGGGGCAAAATTAATCGCATGTTACACAAAGAAGAGTACCTTCCAAATACTGACTAAAATTATTGTTTTGTATTTCTTTTTACAGGAGCGATTATCTGAATAATGAGAAGAATGAATACTAACGAAATCCTGGGCATTCGGTGAAGGTGATATTGACATCATCAATCGCTATATCTCCTTGATAGCTTTCGCCTCTCTCTGCTTCAAATACAACCTGTACATGAAAGACAAACAAATGGGGTCGCATTGTCAGAACAATGTTGAAATCACAATTCACGCAGCAATGAAGGAAAAAGCAAAGTCGTGATTGCGATTCCAGAGTTTTTCACGGGGGGGGGGGGGGGCACTTGTGTATAAATATTTCAGGATACATGGTGCAATCCTAAAAACTCCATCAAAAGTAACTTTTTGTCGGTAACTCATATTACTGGATGAGCACTGACGCAGAAACAATTTTAAATCCTCAGATAGAGAGTACACAGTATTTAACCCCTATTTGTGGCAATCTTCTCAACATGTAGTATATTTTCTTTTCTTAGTAAATGACGGTGGTCACTCAATTCGTCACACACTTAGTCGTGAAAAACGATGGATACTGTGACGGAGCAGTCCTGTTGTCTTTTCTCTTTCATGTTTTGAAGTTTTGCTTATTTTATATCCCATGGCAGCGAAAGTGACCAAAGGAGCAAAATATAGTGGCTGAAAAAAGAGGAGTTATTTTTTTGTCCTCATTAGCTAAATATGGATATAAGGGCATCATGAGCCTGCTACCTGATAATCGTAAGGCGTGCTGATCACGACTTCTGCAGCCCGCCATTTATCGCCTCGATTTCCCGACAGACTCCACACGGGATCACCGATGTCGTCCGACGTCGAGTTTTTGATGTGGACGTTGAGGTCGCCCATAATCCTTCCAAACATGTGATAGTAGAAAATCATGCAGGATGGTCGACCACCGTGACCCGCCATCATTGGCGAGATCATACGAGCAACATGGCCTTGTTGACGGTAGGATGTTTCGATGAACATATAATGCCCTATCGAATATATAACAAAATAGGTGAGGGTATATCGAGACATTTAATCTATCCTACATCGATTCTCTACACAGAAGTGTTAAATGAGTAGCCTACTCGGTAAGATGCGTAAGACATTGTGGTATGTTCAGCGTCCCGTGTTTAATAACATCTATAAAATCCATATAATAATAATAATGATAATAATGATAACAATAATAATAATAATAATAACAACAATAATATTAATAATAATAACCATAACAATAATAATATACTTGTATAAAGCGCAGACATTGTACAACTATAGTTCACTGAGCTGAAAGAGCTCCTGATATGCTTGAAAAGTTTTGCTTTTAGTTTTTATTGAAAAGTAATTGATGATGGTGATTTCCTTAGCTACAATGGCTAGTCATACCACATGTTGGGGCCTGCGCCTGCAAATGCTCGATCTCCCCATGGACTTAATACGGATGGACATTCAACGTGATTCTTTCTTTGATCCAATCATAGTCGCCGCCTTCTGATTATGTGCATCTTAATGAGAACATTCAGCTGTTTTAACAATAACGACTGCGTAAGCTTTTTCGGTCATTGACAAAGGAGCAGTTTCCCTCTCTTGGGTTTTGTTTGGATGGTGTGCTCTGTAAGAGTGTGTCTTAAATAAAAGCATCCTCAAGTGGGAGCAGCAAAGTTGAAAAGCAGACGATTTTAGTGATATGAAATGTATTATTACTGTTTCGCAAACTTTCGCACACACCTATGATCTTATAAAAACAATTAGAAGGCCATGATCTGTATCAGCCTTGTGCGTTGTAACTCTGGAATATCATGAGGAAATAGGGGGAAACGGGATTTTAAATCACAACCAAAAAATCCAAAAATAACCTCTATCTGTTAATATCAACATGTTTTTCAAAAAAAGTACATGTACAGTACACGGAACAACAATTTCCGATTATAAGCCAGAACTGCACATCTATTTTCCATGATTTAGGCTAGTAATTATCTTCTGCGCATGTAGATTAACATGTGTAAAATCACTATCTTGATTCTGTCCCGGCTTTTTGCCGGCGACCATGATGAGACCAAAGGGAAGGAACATGTACGGAATGTTATTGAGACGACATTGACGGAGACAATCACAATGAATTCGTTAAGAAAACGATGAATGTCCATCCGTAATAGGTCCATGATCTCCCAAATCGAATATCATTTTTGCTTTATGCCATGGGGTTTGCCGTGGGTACGCTACGGCCATACCCTTTAACCTACCACTTGCGTTCTTGAATGTGTTGTCGGTTCTTGGACCCGTACTAGAAGAAGAGGTAGAGCCAGCATGCCACCAGAAATCGAAATCATCGGTTGTATCCTGAGTAAATCCACATACTTGACTTGTCTCGAAATCACACGTGAGGTTGTCTGTGTAGGTAAGTTGCAGGATTGACATTAACTAGCATAAGTATTCATCACATGTATATTGACCTCATCAAAAGACCCAGTAGAAGCTTGTAGCAAATTTGATGAAGATCTTTTAAGATTATAATGCTGGTTAAAGTGGCATGTTCCCCGTATTCCAGAGGGCGTTCAAAATACGTACCCGCTGGCGGACGGTGCTAGCTGCCTATTGACACCAACAGAATACGGCTCTTACGCAGATGGCATGTTCCGAATGCCCGCACAATGCCGATTATCGCATACATGTGCCGAAGTAATACCAATCGCAGTTCGGTTCTAAGATTCGGCTGCTGTTTCCGCCCACTTTCGTGACGTCAGGATCGGCAGCGATCAGCTGGCTTGACGAAGGCAGGCCAGGCCGCGCGTACTTTGATTGACAGCTGTATGCAAATTAGAAGTCGATCTTCGGAACCAAGATGGCGATGACTAGAGCAGCGATAACTACAATGGCGGGAACGTGCCCCTTTAATTAAAAGATAATTATATTAACCAATTTCAAGTAATGTTTATAGGCACTCAACAGCATTTGAAATGATTACAAGAAATTATTGATGGTTGATATATGTATATAGATAATAACGAAATAAAAAGGGTCCAGTCATGTAAATATCTAGGTGTTTGACCAAAATTATTATGGAAAAATGAAGTTAAACATACTTAGACGAATCTTAGACCAAATGAAGCGCGGAACGATTCTCGACGAGCAAATGTTAGTGCACTTTTGTGATTAAGATACATTTACCGGTGACTATTCCCTTCTGAAAATCGTGAATACACGATTATTATAGTTCACAATATGATTCAATCATAAGGTATACATCCTAAACGATAATGTCGAGTACTGGTGGGGTACATCGGCAAAGAAATTATCTACGCAGGCGAGACAAAAAAAAAAAAAGGGGGGGGGGGGTTGGAGGAGGAGGGAGTAGTTTTTTCATATTGTGAATGACATACTTACCTAGAGGGCAGACTTTATCAAGAATCATTAGATCGTCAATAGCTACATCACCTCTGTAGCTCTCACCAACCTCACTCTCAAGAATGATCTGACAAAAAACAAAGACAAATTCTTAAATAACCGATTTCATACGATTGTAAACACTACAAGCCTTATCTGCACTAGTTTGGCCAGGAGGGATTAGACCACACAGCGAGGTCACTGACAGATGGCTATCTCATCAACTAAGTTCTCAATTAACATAAGAAATAGAGGATCATGGGGGACCAACAGGCACCGATTGGGGAAGTTTTCTATATAGAGGGAGCAAGTAGCTACAAGTAGGACAGTGGGGATTCAATAGTGTAATCCCTAATTTTACCTGATAATCTTCAGTCTGGGGTTGGATGGTGATCCCGGACTTCAACCACTTATCGTCCTGATGACCACTCCATTGCTTGAGCAGCGTCGGGTCATCCGTCCCGTTGGCGGTCTGGAGGAGTACCCGGAGCTTACCGATGTCCTCCCCGTTCATCTGGTAGTAAAACGCGAAACAGATGGGCGTGGTCGACGGCTGCATCATGGGAGAGACGAGTCGGGCCACGTGACCATGGGTCTGCGGAAGGGACGATTCGGTGTAAATGTAGTAACCTGGAAGGAGCAAGGAGCCGTATCAGTGTTTTGTTCATGATGATAGCAGACTGAGCTATGTTACCAAGGTAAAAATTATATTAACTAGTACTGTCTCTAGATCTCTTTCTACCAATGGAGATGGAAGCATGTTATAAAAGATTCTTGACATGTTTTGATCAATAACAATCATTTTCTTCATATTTCATGTGAATGAATAACCGTTCTCAAAAGTCGAACCATCGAATTTGAATACGAGTACGATTTTATCTTGACCGAAAGCCTCAGTCTCTGATATCGACGGTTGTTCCGCTGAGACTACGTCTGGCTCTACTGACCACCTCTATTTGTACGGGGAAGGTTGACAAATATCAGTTTTATTAAAGAATTCCCTATATACCAGACGGTTATTTCTGTCTGGAGCTGCATATACCCCACTAGATACTGATGTGTATACGTACCTTCTGTCGAACCATAGGTATGGTCGACACTTGGTCCTGTATTTTCTGTAGACGTGGTACCAGCCTGTCTGGTCCAGTCAAAGTCATCGAGGGTATCTTGCGTGAAGCCACAGAACGGATCCGTTTCATTCTCATAGTTACAAGAGAGAATCACCTGTGGGTCCAAGTCCGCTTGCCCATGACCTATGAATATATCATATAGAAGATCCATTATCAGTGAAAGAGAGTAATACTACTACTAATTCTACTACTACTACTAATTCTACTACTACTACTACTACTTCTACTACTACAACAACCACTACTACTACTTCTACTACTACAACAACCACTACTACTACTACTACTACTACTACTACTACAACTTCTACTACTACTACTTCTTCTACTTCTACTACTACAACAACCACTACTACTTCTACTTCTGCTACTACAACCACTACTACTACTACTACTACTGCTACTACTACTACTACTACTACAACTACTAGTACTACTCCCTGGGAGCCCTGCAATTATATTATTACCCCATATGTAGAATTCTTCCTTCACTGTGAATTTATGGTCAATATTTCTAGCGACATGTTTATAAAACTATGTAAGAACTCTTGCGGACTTGATGTTTGGCCTATCCATTATGAAGCATCCCATTTCCTTGTCTCTTCTTCAAATCATCAATTATTTTTTTTGAAATAACGTAAAGTTGGGCTCGTCATAGTAAATCCCTCCTTGAAAAAATACATACATCATAACGAAGATTGGACCCTGTTAATTAAACGTCATGTTAAAAAGTAACCATGTTTGAATCTTCAGCACAGAAAGGGGATAGAATACAGAGTACAGTGATTAATGCAAACAGTGCAAGAAAGGGGGAATTAGTGGGATTGATAGTGGACAGAATAAAGAGAAAGGGGAAGAGAACGCTAATCCAGATACCAGGAAGCATTATCTGGAGAGAATAAGAGGAAATGAAAGAGAGGTGGGGGAAAATATTGTGCGGGAGTGTATATGAACGAAAGAGAGAATGAAAGAGGGAGAAACATGGAGAGAGAGAGAGAGAGAGAGAAAGGGGTATGATTTTTATTCTATTCTATTCTCTTTCTGCATTTTCCCACGTACACTCGTACAATAACTGAATAACAAAGAACACGTAAACGTAAGCTATAATACAATACAAATATGCAAACAATCAGTGGCGGATCCAGGGGGGGGGCCCGGGGGGCCCGGGCCCCCCCCCCTTGAGAAAAAAATCATGTAAAATCACGTGATTTTTACGATTTTTGGGGGTTGGGCCCCCCCCCCCTGGCGCTCAAGGGGGGGGGTGCAAATTGAAATTTTTTTTGAGGATCAAAAAAAAAAAAAAAAGTGCTCACTACCCCCCCCCCCCCCCCCCCCCCCCACCCCCCCCCCACTGAGCGACTTTTCGGCCGGCGCGATTTTCAAATTTTCGGGAGCAAAAAAAAAAAAAAAAAAAAAAAAAAATGTGCTCACTACCCCCCCCCCCCCCCCACTGAGCGACTTTTCGGCCGGCGCGATTTTCAAATTTTCGGGAGCAAAAAAAAAAAAAAGTTGGGCCCCCTCCCCTAAGAAATCCTGGATCCGCGCCTGCAAACAATAATATCAAAATGTTAAAATGTGATTTACATATACAAATCATACGAACTTAATATTTCTATAAAATATTATTATAAATTTAAAGTTTTATCTGAACTATCTGTGGAAAAGTGCAAGAGACCGCAATCATAAGCGACACTTGACTAGGATGGCGGCCTCAAAAGAAAAATTGTGAAAAGTGAAATTTAAATGAAAATGTGTTCACGCGATATTTGTGTATGAATTTGTTAGTGTATTGTATGAGTGTATGACGGAGAAGATAAATATAGGTAGGCAAGTTATTATCATGATTATAGTCTTGAATTTTCCGTTATTTCCTATCTAGCTCTAAATAATAGTACACCGACTTGACAAGACAAGCTAGTGATCGAATGCAAATATGTTTTGGCTTTTGGCTTTGTTTTAACCGATGACGACGTGAATATAACAACAAGTAATTTTACTCACTATACATTAAAATTTGGAAATCCACACAAATGACATGAAATAACGAAATAAAATGTGAGATCGAAACTGGCCAAAATTGTTGGTATAAATCACGCATGTGGCAGTATCATGTATCTCGACCCCAGTTTGCACTCAATTTGTGTTTTCACTTTTATTGAATAGAAATGTGAGACTTGTTGAAAGTTTTCACTTATAAATTACAGCGTATCCACTAGACGACGGCACCTCTATACTTCGGTCCACCCCTCTTTCCTTCACCTTGCTGTTCTGCATTACTAGTAACACATTATAATGTTTGTATTTAATCTGGCTCAAAGGCATCAAAATGCTGCCTATCGTGGAGTTCAAGTTCTGGCTGAAAGTACTTTCTGCTTTTTATTTTTATGTAAGTTGATTTACCATGAGGATATTCCGAGCAAAATAAAATGAAATGACATCCTTCCCCATTGCCTAATGAATGAATGGACAGACGAATGGGCGATTGATTGGATGAACAAACACTTGAAAAGAAATCCCAAATAATTCCAGAAAATAATGAATAACTAGACGAATGAATGCAATAATGAAATAGTGATAACAAACACATGCTTTTACCTCGGGTACTACATACGAGTTGAACTACGTTTTTGAATAGGGTCAGGACGTCAGGTAATTGTGTTTTCAAACTTGCTCTTAGCCGTTTACTTAATTTCTGATTGACATTTTCACATTTTAATAAACACCAGGGGCCCGTTTCACAAAACTTATTATCTATAACAAATGCTAGATTTCTATGACAAATTTGCTCTTAGCCAATCAGATGCCATGATTTCAGTAGCTTGTAACAGTAGCTTGTAACTTGTTATTGATATCAAGTTTTGTGAAACACCCCCCTGTAATAGCACTGCCTTTTTGCATGGTTTAGCTCGACATTCCAACATCAATCTTCGTGGAAGAGCAGAAGATAGAGCTGAAATGTCGTATCACGACAATCACCCCCCCCCCCGGAACAATCACCGCCCGGAAATTACCCCCCCCCCCCCGAGGACAATTATCCCCACCCCTGAAAATACCCCTAGGACAATAACTCCCTGCACCCCCCCTCCCAGGACAACCAAGGATAACCACCCCGGGGACAATTACCCCCCCCCCCCCCCAAAAAAAAAAAAAAAAAAAAAAAAAAAAAAATCACCCCCCCCCCTTGTTCGTTATAAGGGAAGTCCAGCCTGATAATCAGTTGATTTTAATAAAAGCAGATTTTTTTCTTCAAGGGGTTATTATCCTCGGAGGGTAATTGTCCACTGGGGATAATTGTCCTAGGGGGTAATTTTCCAGGGGGGGGGGTGATTGTCCTCGAGGGGTGATTGTCCCCGGGGGCATGATTTTCCGGGGGTGATTGCCCAGGGGGTTATTGTCCTAGAACCATTAAATGTATGTAACATAGCCTTACATAGGACACATAAATGCAACAGGAATACAACACATGCCCCTTTTCCTCGTATTCATTATGGAGGCCTACTAGGAAGTTACCCGATTCAGAGATTGTAAAAGCTAAGCAAATCATGTCTTCTAAAGAACTCGCTAATTTCGGAATTTGCTTTTTATAGTCAATGCCAACCAGTACGAATAGACAATAATTGTTCATAAGCGTGTACTCCATAGGGTGGAGCCGAGGAGCATGGTTCTGCCCATCGATATGCCTTCAATACGTGCATTGATTGGTTCACATACACACACGCGCACACCCCCACATACGCAAACAAACACACACGCACGCGCGCACACTCATACTAAAACTTAATATATAGATAAATAAATAAATACAATGAATACATAAGTGAGTCAAAAAAAATATACTAAATAAATAATTGAATACATAAACAAGTTAAGATAGACCCATCGAAATATTTGAATAAATAAATAGATAAGTCGGCCTGTCCGGATAACCGTCTCAAGTAAGTTTCACTGTCGTAATTCGAAATTGATCGTACTAAGGTCATTTAAAAAAAAAAATCATGTTTAGCGTCCCCGCCCGCCTACTTTTTTGGGGCCGACTCCTATTTTTTTTTTTTAATGAATAGATATACCTTGAAATACAAAGAGCAAGCAGTATCAATTTCCTAGGAGTACAGATAGATGATAAGCTAACTTGGGTTTATCACATCAACTCCATTCGTGGAAAGATTAGCATGTCTATAGGTATGTTGAGTAAGCTAAGTTATTTTCTACCGCTCAAAACCCTTTTCACTTTATACAATGCCATTGTCCTGCCTTATTTCGATTATTGTAGTCTTGTAAGGGGAGGGGCCAGCTCGTGTCATTTAAACAGAGTACATACTTTACAAAAGAAAGCTATTCGTCTATGCTCAAACTTCCATTATCTTGCCCATACCCCGCCTTTGTTTAAGAAACTGAATATACTAAATTTCTCTGATAATATAACGATTAAAACAGGAGTCTTTATGTACCGTTATTCGAATTTTTTGTTACCACCCGTGTTTGATAATTACTTTATTACAGTTGACAAGAAACATAATGTTAACACAAGACAAAAAAAAAAAAAATTCTTGCCATATGCACGTTTAAAGTTACGAAAGGTGAATTCTATTCAACAAAAAGGGGGGAAATTATGGAATAATATTGACAACTCAATCAAACATGTAACCACTCTTAGTTCTTTCAAGTCCAAATTTAAGTTGCGTCTTCTTACCACATATATACTTCCTATGATACATACAATTACCATATAAATTATATCGTTCTGTATTATTATTGTGTTTTAGTTTGTAATGTCCTGTGTACGTCTTGCATTTTGTTTTATTGTGAATTTTAATGTTTTGTATTTTCCACATTTGTCATTTATGTTATGGGTCCACCCACTTCTCTCAAACCATAGGCTTTATCGGGTGTAAATGATCCAGCAGAATTCTCAATGTATATATATATTGTATGTGATTTTTTATGAAATAATAAATTGAAATTTAAATTTAAATTGAAAATATATGAAAAACATACTGCTGAAATGATCAATTTCTGATTAGAAAAAAAAATGCTGGCCACCATTTTAAAAACTAGCCGACTGTCAGGGAAAATGTACCGAGAGCGGCCATTTGGGGGAAAAAAAGGCCCTCTTCTTCCTATTTTTCAAAAAGGCAGGGCGCTAAATAAGTTTTTTTTTAATGGCCGAACGAGATGGCCAACGATTTCCTCAATAAATCAAAATGAGGAACTTTGTCATAGCTGTGTGCCTACTTGAATGGATGATTGATTGCGAAGTAAATGTACTCCTATTTCTTTTTGAGGATTTCAAAACACGTCAGAAAAGTAAAAGTGTGAGCTGGCACTGTTAATGGTATTCATCTTTAAACAAATTTGTCGACTATAAAAATGCCAACATCATCATGACCGCAAAGCGGGCATAAGCGTGTCCCAAAGTGTTTCCAATCAAAACGTGATAGAGATGAACTGCTATTTTTAATCAGCCTCATTACAATCTATCAATTAATAAATATAATATGTTTCACTAAATCACACTGAATTATCTATGAATAGTGACAAAGTTCTGACAAAACAATCAAACAAACGGATGAACAATCACTGAAACAAAAACCAAAATAAACAACAGAGCAGAAATAGTGAAAAGTCATTTTATAGCCTTTAATAAACAAGAACTACTCCGCGTTGTCCGACATCTGGTAATTTCCCGTATCCGTTGCCTTTCTCCTCTCCGCCCCCTCGCTCTCTCGCTCTCTCTCTCTCTCTCTCTCTCTCTCTCTTCATATAAATATATATATATATATGTATATATGCCTGTATACCGTATATATATTATCCCCTCTCTTTTCCCTCCTCTCTTCCATCGGCGAACTCCCGAGGGTAGCATAGATGACCTGAACCCAACAAATTTAGTTTTATTTCCTCCTCCAAGCGGGTCATGAAGAGAGCCCGCGTGCCACTCGGTGCCAATTCATTTTTTTTCCTGGGATGGAAATAAATGTACATGTAAAAACTCCACTGAACTTGCATTAACTCTTCCACATCAACAGTAAATTGCATACATGCCATTGCTGTCGTTTCGTTCTCACTGCCAATCGATGCATGCTGGATTTACACATCGGGGATAACGTTTGTGTATCTGAACTAATATTGACTCATTGAAACAGTGTGTGATTGAAATAATATAAAAGTGCTAATGATACTACTTTTACTACTACGACTACTAGTACTACTACTACTACTACTACTACTACTACTACTACTGCTACTACTTTTACTTAGACAACTGATATCACCCCAAACAACAACAATAAAAAACACAAAAAATACATAACAAACATCATAGCTCTTCTTACGGTCAATGCAAGTATTACATTATTACCCCAGCATTGACAGGTACATGGGCCAAGAGTAACGGAGCGGGTATCGGACCTATGCCCATGACCTTTCAGATGAGAGTATAGAGCCTTCTATTCACCAATATAAAACATTGCTCCCAGGATTGACAAGATACGAGAGACGAAGAGAGCGATGTTTATACAAAATCAAAAAAAAAAAAAAAAATGACAACTTCATTTCGGGTGCAACCACATAGAGTCTGATGATATTCTTTAATCTACTTTTTAGAGCTCCAGATAAAAGAATTTGAGAATTCTGATTCAGGTATTCGGCTCTCGTATTTTTTTTTCAAGCGTAACGACTGGCAAACTTTCGCAAACTAGGAACTTGGAAAGCCGCCAGAGGTGAACACAATGTCATGTGGCAATCCTAACAGGCTCACACCAGGATCATGTTTAAGTGCTATTGTGCTCATAGAGTTCCAACCCTTTCAAGCTGGGAGAAGAGAAACATTTTGTTTGTAGTGAAACAAATGAGTGAGTTGATCGACAACACACCTGACGTCACGAATGACGTCAAATGATTACAAAAACAAAATCGTCACTTCCTATGGTTTCATCGACTTTCTTCAATTTGTAACTCCCCGTTTTCTGCTTCCTTTCGATAATGCGGTTATAATATTTACTCCGACTTTGTGAAACAACGCAGAAAGACATCATGGAATATAAGGGGGCGGTGTCCTAGTAATATCAATCTAAAAGTCATTTCGTTTCAAATCAATCCGGTTGCCTGGTAGTAAAGTGATAACCCCCCTATGGCCATTGCAAGGGCGTCGCTGGGACATTTGAAAGAGGAGGGGGGGGGGGGGAGTGTTCGTTACCTTCCAACTATATTCTGCTGATGGACAAGAAGAAGAAAAAGAGGAATGAAGGAGAAGAAGAAGGGGAAGATAAAGAAGGCGGAAGGCGCAGGGGAGGAGAAGAAGAAACAGAAGAATGAGGTAATAACTAATAAGGGAGAAGGAGGAGAAAGAAAAAGAAGAAGAAGTAAAAAAAAAAAAAAAGAAGTAAATTGTTGACAAGATGCGGGGGAGGGGGGTAGAGCCATACCATACCCTTTTTGACATCCGCTATTAATTCTAAACTTACGGCTTGAACAAGTTTTCTGTAATCATATCATATCGTGGTAATACGAGAGTTAATAACACTTGGAGCAAAAATAATTCTAGCCCTTGCTTATTCGTTACTATATTTGCTCTAATTAGTCGACAAATTTTGTTTCAAGATGAATACCATTACCAGTGCCAGCTCACACGCTTACTTTTCGGACTTGTTTCGAAATCATCTTTTTCGCATAAAAAAGAAATGGGAGTAAATTTACATCACAATCAATCATCCACACAAGTACTAAGCACACAGCTTACAAAGTTCCTCATTTTGATTTATTGAGGGAATCGTTATGCCATCTCGTTATCAAGCACTACGATCATTCACGTTTAATTCACACGATACATCAAAATATTTGAACATGATGGAGAATAGTCGACAAGTCGGGGCGGGTGCTCAGGGTTTCTACTAAATAATGTAAAAAAAGAAACATGCTCAGATAACGAGGATTATCATTATTTCTGACGCTCTATATCTCGTTTTTGTATCATTTTTACTTCCGAAACATCTGAAGTTTTATGAGAGCAGAAGATGTCTCTGGAGAGAGCTTAGACGCCCTGTTGTAGACTTTTACTTTAAAACCCCACTGTACTACGTGTAGCTACGTGCGCCCGCTATATAGCAAACAAAGCCTAATCGGTGACCGTTTGTCCCCATTTTCTCATGTAAATTGAGAGCTGATTTGATGAGATTACCACCTGTCAGTGACCATGCAGGGAGGTCTAATCCCTCCTGGCCAAACTAGTTCAGAGAGGCTTTAAACATGTCGGATTTTTTGGGGGGTGGTTTTTCTTTGGGGGGGGGGGGCAAGAAAAACATCAAAGATAAATCACGGCTTTTGAGGTTGAACTCACACTTTTCACGTCATTTATAAAAATTTCGTTCATCTCCAACAACCGACTTGTCCGACCTTGTTTCTTGATGAGTGAAGCCAACCGAAGATCGGTCAGATAGGTCAGGGTCTTGACTCTAGGGAGCTAGTCTAGGGTCCATAGAAACGTGTGCAACGTCTCTCTCAGCTTAGAAGTGGGGATCACATATAACCCAAATATCGACCGTGCGGTCCTGGATATAGTTCAATTCAATTTTCAATTCAGAACTTTATTTCTCAGCTTCACAAGACAGAGGTCCATATTAAAAACATATGTAGATATATAGGGAAAAGAGCTGAGTATAAACATGATTGAGTATAATAACAACAAATCTTACAAAGAGTATAACAAACTAAACTATACTATACGTACATACAATCTAAAAATAAGTTATCCAACTATAGCTATACCAGGGAGGTGAGACTTGCCCTGGCTATACGAACCTCCACAGCAGATACGATTGCATATACACATGTTTTTCTAGTAATTCCAACCATTAAAGTTGACATAATTTTGGACATGACGTATGACAAAATAAATGTATTGTTATGTGAGAGTATTATGACACGTATATAACGAACATGAACAAAATATTTTACAACTAACTGTACGTCTTACCTCCCGACACCAACAGAAGAAAGAGCAAATAGCTGAGCGTACATGCAGCAGCACAAACACGACAATATAGAACCATGATGAAAGCACAATATAATCTATAAACTAAAGGAATATATGATTCCACAGCGAGCCTAAAAAAGCACGAAGGAAAGAACGTTTAGAACTCTGAATCTGACTAGAAAGGGTTTCATAATACCCTCCTACCAACTCCCGTACAACCTGTCGACTGGTATAGAGGTGCATGCATGGGCTCGAGGCACGAACTGGTACATGTATACGCCCCCTGCAATTTGACATTGGTGACCGCGGATGAGGATGGAGAGTTATTTGCGTCGCAGACGTCCCCCAGCAGAGGCTAAGTTAATCCTCCTATTAGCTTGTCCTCTGTGTTTAGCCTCAAATCGAGGGGTCTTGACTGACGACACATAACCCGTGGTCCCGATTGCATTGCGCGCAGCGAAAATACTGAATTACCATGATAGTTCTACCAGGGAAATTTACCTGGTTCTACGAAATGGCGGATATAATTACGAAAAGGATCAGTAAATGTATGCGCCATTTTGTATAGAGCTATCATTCAGTATTTTCGCTCCAGCATTGCACCAATCAAAAGATTATATGAAACTAAGAATGACTTCGAAATATGATTCTATATTGATATGTCAAATTTATGTCAAATTTATTCAGAAAAAACAAATTAGATAGAGAAATCTTTCTCATTCAAGCTATCGACTCCATCAAGCCTCGAACTATTTACCCGATGCATCCATCCTAGGACCAACTCTATCCATTCCAAGGACCAACTCAGATTTATATTTCCGGGATATTTCCCAGTGTTGCTTACAAATGGTGGCTCTTTGCGGTCATCTGAAGAGCCATAGTTCCAAATAATCGATGCAGCTTTGTGTAGTAACAGGTATACGCTATTTCCAAAACCACGATAAAAAGGTGGTAGCCAAGGGGGCAGGAGGTACAATGCCCAAATATCATATGAACAAACTGTACCCCTTGAGAAATAAAATCGTTTTCGTTTTCAAAGCTTGGCCTTTATATGTATAATAAGCGTGCCCTTTTCAAACTAAAATTCTAGCTCCTTTTAACAACCTTGGAATGTTCAAATACAACTGCTAAAACACGCAGTTTCTTGCCTACCATCCTATAAACCTCATCATTTATCTGTAACCCCTAGTTCCTAGGGAATCATTTGCTCTTTGTTCAGGAATATAAAATGTATGTGCCCCCTTAGGAGGTAGTGAGGTTTTTTTGGTGCTCAACGAGGGGGGGGGGGGGGTGGGGGACAGTGCCCACTTTTGTTTTAACTCAACATCCGTCCCCCCTTTTCTTTTTTTTTGCCACGGAAGGGGCCCGTTTTTTTTTTTAAAACAAGAAAAGAGGTAAAAATTAACGTGTTTTCATCTGTGTTTTTGCCAGGGAAGAGGGCCCAGCCGCCCAGGGCCCCTGGTTCTGCCAATAAAGGGGGGGGGGGGGGGTAAGTAGAACGATGCGGATAACGTATCATGACGTGCATGACCGACCGACTGGCGCATATTTTTTTTAACACAACTGTTTAGCCATTTTCGCGAAAAAATTCCAAGAAGTGCTCTGGTAGTCGTCAGCGCACTATATATGTGCAACTGCAAGCAAAGATGATAGAAAGGGAAAACAAGGATAGTGGAGAGGATATGGAGAAGAATAAACAAGGAAATACATAAGGAAAGAGAAGAGCTAGGATAAGTCAAAGGAAGAACATAGAAATACATAATTGAAGAGCCAAGAGGATCATCATCTAGACTAAGGAAAAACAAGGAAATATATACATAAAGAAGGAGAAAGGGATCATCTATCAGATTAAAACAAAGAGATAGATTGAAGGAGAAACAACGAAATACATAAAACAAAAGAGAAGAGGTTAGAATAAAGGAGAACAAAAGAAATATATAATAAAGGAGGACTGGGGGATAGATTGAAGGAAAAACAAAGAAATATATAACGAAGGAGAAAAAGGATAGATTGAAGAAAAAAGAGAAATTCATGACAAAAGAGAAGAGGATAGATTGAAGGAGAACACAGAAATACACAATTAAAGAGAAGATAGGATAGATTTAACCCGAAACAAATAACGAGTATGTGTACAGCTCCAGCAATCCAACAAAACTGCCAAGGGTAATGCTAGACTCTGTTTCTATAGTCGTTTGCACAGTATATTTGACTAAAGTGGCTAAACAGTTGTGCCTTCACACGCTACCTAACTCTCCGCCCAGTAGATACCATGTATAAGCGCTCCGTGACAGTAGCTGGTAGCGTATTTTGTTGTTGATGTTATATATTTTGTCTAGTAGTAAGGCCGGAGAGAAGGAACCGCCCGAGCTACACTACAGATCTAAACCTAAGAAGGCCAATTTCACATACGAAACATGCCAATATTAATGTCTCCGACGGTTTATTCTTTGAAATTTGCAGACAATAAAACGAAGAAAAGAAACACCAACGTCCTCTCATTATGACGAGGGTGTATTATTCAAAATTATCTTATTGAAAGGGGTGGAAGTAAGGAAAGTTGCAGGGGATCGAGAACACACTGGCAACAACATTGGCACATGAACAGCAGATAATTTCCCTTGGGAGTTCAAAGATCAAAGATGTCAATGCAATCTTCAAAATAAACGTATGATTCGAATTGCCAGACGTGATTTTCTTAAAGAGATGCTAAAAAGGGTTCTATTCTCCAATACCCACACATAAACAAAAATTGAGGGGGGGGGGGGGTAACCATAAAAGCCCCCGTCTGCGTACGCGCCTGGTACCAGATCAACTGATGAAATCCATATTCCCAAACACCATAATCGTATTTTTCAAAATAATATTCGTTTTACCGGCCCTAAGCTTTGCAACGATTTACCTCTCTGTTAAGCTTCTCTGGGAAGCTTAAACAATGTAACATTTTAAATTAAAGTGCATAAGTACTAGCCCTCTACCCGATTAGGTAGACGAGTGTGTATGTATATTGTCTAAGGGGATGTGTTTTATGGATGTGTAAGTATATATATGTTGTATGCATGTGTATAATTATGTAAACATACATGCATAATAATAATAATAATAATATTGGATATTTTATATAGCGCACATATTATCCACCCTGCAGGGTGCTCAAAGCGCTCCAATATTACCCTGGCTCTGCTAGGCTACCGATATCGGTGCTCACAGCATTCAAGGAATTCCTTCGTACCGGTTCCCATTTACATCACCTGGGTGGAGTGTGGCAAATGTAGATCAATGTATAGGCTTATGTTGTATAAATGCATGCACTTGTAAAGAAGTATATATATATATATATATATATATATATATATATATATGCAGTCAAATATTTCAACATTATACCCTTTACCTATATCTTGCCATTATGTTGCTTATGCATGCGATACGATACACTCCATTGCTACCATGTTGCAGTCCTCTTCTTTTCCTCTCTTCTTTTCTCTTTCCCCAAGCTCCCTATCCTCGATCCTCTCCTCCTTGCCTATCCCTTACTTCCTTTCTTCTATTTATAATGTATATTATGTATTTGTGTATTCGGGCGTACCCATTACAAGCTCTGCTTATCGGGTTTCGCGCATTCTTCCTTGTAAAAACAAGTTCTTTAATTATATTATGTTCCTACGTATAAATCGCATTGTTTGAACAGATGTCAAATATGTTGTCAAATTGAATGGAAGAAAATAAATGTTCATGTGAATTGAATTTGAATTGAATTGAATCGATTTGAATTGTATATAACAACGACTTGCATTGTAGGTCCATAACCATCACAATAAACACGAAATGATGGCAACCCTATCAAGGCAGAGGATGACATGAAAACGCGTTATTAAGTAAGATATGCTACGGTGTCATGACATCATTTCTGCACTAGTAACGAAATAGAAATTTAAAAAAAACGGAGGTGTTTTGACGAACACTGTATGTTATCAACAAGAGAGGGTGACATTTATGAATATAATTCACGATTCTCGAGTCAAGACTTGATGTGTCCCGATATATACAATAAAACATAAATTGTGCTTTCCATTTGTGTTATTAATGTTGAGCTATTATGACATGGTATCATGTGCCGAGAGATATTAGGGTGTTGAAACCGTGCCAAACCCTTAGCAGACGCTTCTAACCAAATGTATGGGCCTATATTGTAGAAAAATTATTACAAATTTGAATATAATTCTGAGTCATATACAGTTATAAATGAAAACATGTTCGGTATTCGTGGTGCTCCATGATGTTAATTTTACATTAATGTCCAAATCATTAATGATCTGATTAAAAATTCATAGTCATCACCATCAGTTACAGGAAGTAGGCTAGTTATATACTTTCAAACATGCATCATAATTATAAGCGGTAATTAATTTTCTTAATTTGATCGAAACATGTAGGCGGTCGTATTTTCTCACCGAAATCGGCTACCACAAACGCTCAGTTGGTTTTGCGTACTGTTATTCTTGAAGTAAAAGAGAACAAAAATCTCAAGAGCAAAAACTCAGCTTGAGGGTCAATAATTAATAATCACTTTTTACCCTTATTCATTTTTCCTGTATTCGTTCATATAATTATGCATAGTGCATATCACATTATGATATAAGATCTGTATTTACAAATTGCTTAGAAATTTGTATAATAGTGCCTTAGCAAAGTCAAACGCAGTAGCTGTATTCGAATATGTAACTGTCCAAAACCTTTTAAATACCAATTTCCATTCATTTATACAATCAAAACTTTTTCTACCATTAGATAACAGCCAACAAAGTTATCAAGTGAGTAGGCCTATATCCATACCGATCCATGAATGTATAAAGCGCCAATATCTAGTTGCCTAATCAAAGGCGCTGATGAGACTGAAAAACTACCAAAATATATCATGTTCATGATTCTAACTGGGAAAGATAAAAAGCGATGACTAATTGTAAGCAATCTTACATATAAAATTATTAATATGAACACATTATCTTTTTTTCTAATTTAGAAGAATGTGTCATATTGTGTATGGTTTTGTTTTGATGGAATAAGAGGCGCGGGCGCTAGGAGCATGCAATGGGCAGGGGGCGATTAAAAATAGGCACATAGAGAAAGAGAGAGAGAGAGAGAGAGAGAGAGAGAATGTGAGGGGGTTATACAATTTATACAATTTATGAAGCTATAAAAGGGATAAAGAGGCGACAGTTCAAAAGCAAAATAGGGACAAGAAACATGTAAAGATCGAGCACTGAATATTGATAAATTTGAGTCGGCCCCGAATATTAAAATATATTCCAATACATGTCGTCCCTTTTAACTTTCGAAGCCTATTGAAGGACGCTGATTATCCATTACTGGTCTACTTGCTCTAATAAAAACACTCTGTCAACAATTAAATCACGTTGATGAAACAGATGTAGCCATGTAGTTACCATGTTCAAATTTTCTGATAGAATCTCTCGGGTTTAAATTCATAAAACACACTACACGTGGGAAGCACAATACTATTCCCAAACTTCATTTCACAAATGGTTGTTCAAACCCCCAAACGCTCAAAGGTCCCTTTTATGGTGATTCAGTCACCCGTGGAGGGCATTCACTCCGTTTTTCTATTCAGGAATACCCTTTCGTGCAACACACTACTTGTTTACATGGTGTTCGGTTTTGAGAGTTCAACGTGTACAGTATATTGTGCAGGTGTTTTAACTACACATTTACTGAGTATTGCAATCTACTGAGTTGGCCTTAATCCTTGGAAATACATAATATACATTGGTGTAAATGGTAAAGCAGAATCCTGTGGAAAAGTGAGAAAGAGGTAAGCTATTTCATGAACTCATCTCGTACTGCAAGCTGCATAACATATACACTCTCTTCATCATACTCCCTGATAATACTGAGTTATCAAACGCTGTGGAGATATACAGTGATTGCACTATAATCGCATACGGTGAGCGCACTATAATCGCACACAGTGAGCCAATAATTGTATATACCGTAAAGTTCGTAGTACGTGAGAATTATTATTGCGATTATAACAAGCAGAGGATGTGAGCAAAGCCTGAAATATTAGAACTTATTAGAACCTGCTATTAGATTAGCAGTATACAATGTATATACAATTATCCTGAATATTGCTTTTAATTGTTTCACATCAAAAGCTTATACGATAGATGACAGCTTCAGTCTCTGATATAAACGCCGGTATCAAGGGTTGTTCCGCTTAGACTATACATGTCTGGCTCCACTGACCGCCTATAGTATGCTATAGGCGGAAGGTTGACAAATGTCAGTTTTATTGAAGAATTGCCCACACCAGACAGATATTTCTGTCTATGCAGGGAGGTCTTATTATAAATCAGAATTGTACACATGTAAACTTAACTATCTTGACTGTTGAATTTGCGGCACTTGACAGCCTTCCCAGGGTGGAAATGCCTGACTATAAACAGGGAGATATGTGACCTTAAAAGTCACACCCCCTGCTATAATGATGCAGGGAGAGTTCCACATGTATGCGATTCTGACACCTAAGCATCCTATCAAATTTCGTTTCGCTCAATAATGGAGTAAAATGGGGTTACCTCATTCAAAATAAAAACATAGGCCTATATTTAAATACAATCCTTAATTTCAATACCTTCCCGTTTGTTATTGCCCATACAAAAAGGACGCAAGATATCGGTTTGTAATACGAACCTTCAAGATATAAAAACCTACACCTACCCTCTTGTCTATGCCTTATATTTTCTTCTAAATTGCAGTTCATATTCGAACATCTCGTCATCATTATCATCAGTCACCCTCTCGATCGCAACATGGCCAAAAGAACTAGACTCAGCGCCGACGTCACTCTCCGAATGGCAAACCAGTTCGAAGCCACCAACGACAGTAAAAATGACACAATACGATCTTTTGGTGACACCCTTAATCTCGACAAGCTTATCATAAAAAAGGCGACGACCCTCGGCAAGAAGTCATCAAATCTTGAAGGTGCAACGCAACATCTCCTTAACGAGTGGGTAAACGAACACGGGAGCGATGACGAAGCGGCTAAGAGGCTCAAGACGATCCTGACAAAGAACGGGTATTCAAAGATGGCTGACGTCATCAAAGAAGGTTGGTATATGAGAGGGATGCCATCAAGGAATATTATGTTCTTATTTTAAGAGTCAAGAAGAAAGCGGTCAAAAGGTCGCATGCTCAACAAGTACACCCCTGCCAGTTAGAGAGCTTTAACATTCTATTGAATGTACATGTAGGCATCAAACATAAGACATGGAAGGAACTCTGATATATATACAATCAATATATGTCACCTCTTTTAAAGCATGTTTTGAAGTTCCTGCTTTCACTTACAACTTGTTCAGTTAAAAATGATTTTGTTGTTGTTGTTGTTGTAATGGAATTTGAAGTTATTCATGATGCTAATAGGGAAATAGATATTGGAATGAGAAGCAGATTGGATTTCTTGAAAATATATCTTCATGTATTTATTCTGTAAATCATGATAGAAATATAACCAGAGGCGGATACAAAGGGAAAGATGTACACAGCGGTCTATACACATTTCAAACATCTTAAAATCTTTCAACAACAACAAAATATATTTATATTTCAAACATTTTAGTACATAAAAAGCCACACTACAATCCCTAGTTAGGAAATCATAGAGGGTGGGCTGGCGAGCAAAAGTCGAACCCCCTTCCCCGTGGAAAAAAATTCAAGGCTATAGGGGACTGAATCAATAGGTTTGCACAGCTGAAAGAACGTAGATGGATAAAACTAAAAGACGGAATGCTATGGGGGTTTGAAATCCTCAGATCGCTTGTAGCGACAGTAGCGTTACACATCTTCTAATAAGTGTGCATGCAATTACAATCAATAGAATTAGATATTATTAAATGAGGAAACATTATTTCATTTTTGAAAAGCGACTTTAATTAAGACATTATAAATTTAGCTATATTAATAATTTACAAGAAGAATCCTGTTTCTGTCATTCTAAACTATAAGTTATTCCTCTAACAATATTATCTGATCTTTGATTCCTTTTGTCTTCTCTTGCAGAATCGACCAAAAAGTCATCAAAACATAGCTGCCAAGATCCCCAGCAGCCAGCCTCTACAACAGACAGAATCATCACATTGGTCACAACAGTAGTAGTCGCTGTCCTAGCCATCACCTATATCCATTACAGAGACTTCTCTTAGAGACACTCATACTCGATTCTAGCGCTGAAGTGAACCTTTTTGGTACTTAGTCGAAAGGAGTATATTCGGTGTGGATCAGAACTGCAGGATGGCGCTATAACATACGAACACATCTAGGAGATGTATCGTTTTGTAAAGAATGGATAAATTTTTGCTTGCAAGAACTCAAAGCAGTGATAGTTACAAAGATGGATGAATATAAGGTTGATCTTTAACACTCGATTATACGAGCCTGTTCGACTGAAAACGTGCTTGAAGCAGTGGCTGAAGATGTTGGATGGAGAGTAATTGAATGAATTGATGTATTCCATGGATATATGTATATTCAACTAGAGACAGTTTGGTGAAAGTCGTTTCATTGCTAACTGAGTTAATTAATCCAAATGGAATCTTGTTCTCCAAATGACATGCTCGATGTCGAAGTTTTTGTGTAGTTCTAGGTGCTAGGCTGTTTTCAAAATCTTGTTGTATTAATAATCAAATATTAATAAAAATTAAGAAAAACCAGGCAGGTATTTATGTCATTACAATAGTAAAAGGAATCATGAAGTATAAATAAGATGTTTTTGTAATGTTATTGATATTATTCCCGTTTTGAAGAACTTATCTGTACCCGGTTATTCTATGATTTAAACCAGCCGCTGGGTTGCAATCTGAGTAGCTCAAAATTAAGTTGAATTTCACAACATAGTTTAGACTTATGTCGAATTTAGTCCCTTTGTTAAAACGTGACTTAGTTTCAGCATTTGGTATAACCGAATTAGTAGAATAGAGACCATTATGTTTAAGAGAATATGACGTATGATCTTGAATCCATAATAAAATATCAAATTGACTGAAATACTGCAACACGAGCCGCAGAATGAATTGAATAAATGAACAAATACTAATGGGAATTTCAAATCAGCTTAATGCCTACCGATGTCTCAACCTAACTAAGGATATTGAGAGGAAAACAAATTCAAGAAATTGTGGAGTAAATGTGACATACATGTAGTATGTGCTTTGTAAGTCATAATAATCACGAATCCCTATAGCACTTTAACAATTAGGTGGGCCTGGTGAGGTAACTCTTCGCGGTCGACCGCTCAGGTATCAATTTCTGTAACTAGGTAAAATCCTGTAGCGCTAACTGCAGTTCAGTTTTCTTCTTTGTCTCCTTCTTCCCCTTCTGCTTCTTCTTCTCCTTCATTTCCTCTTTTATTTCATTCTTCTTCGTCTTCTTTATTTTCTCCTACTTCTTTCTCTTCTTCTTTTTCTTTTCTTCTTCTTCTCCTTGTCTTTCTTTTTCTCCTTCTTCATTTCCTTTTTTCATTTCTTTCTTTATTTCCTTCTTCATTTGCTTTTTTCATTTCTTTCTTTCTTTCCTTCTTCTTCCTCTTCTTTTTACCGTTCTTCCTAATTTCAACCTACTTTTTCTTTTCTTTTAGATTACAAAAATAAATAAATATTGTATCAAACAAGTACCACAGACCTGATGTTGCTGAAATTACATTTTTGTTGAATGACTACCGATTCAACTTCAAATGATAAAATGCAATATTAAAGGCTTACATGTATGTCTTCTAATAAAATGGATAAACAAACAAACCTATTTTGTGTTGCTTGTTGCCTGTTATCCTGTAGAAAAACTGCAATGGTGAGTCAAAACACGCATGCGCCAAGCGACAGGGCGATTATACATATATATATATATATACCATAACATTTTCATACTTGCCTATTACATGTATCAACATTGTAGTCTTTCGCTTTTGAATCTTGTTGTGATTTGGATGTGAAATTGGTGGTGATAGGTGGTTATTGCTAAAACAAACATTGTATTGTTATGTGTATGTAACTCCAGACCAGTGAGGCCTGGATCTTACCCCGTGCTCTTAACCTGTTTAACCGTAATGGGTTTCCAAACTTAATTTGGTCAATTTAAATTATGAATGTTGCCAGTGTGCAATTTTTCTTATTAGTACAGACCCGCTAATGCAGAAAATAATTATATTGATATAAATTTCTTAATACGAACTCTTTATAATATATTTTATTTCAAAAGCAGTTTGTCGTATTCTTCTCAAATCTTTATTCTATCCGTTACTTCAATTTCTGCAAAAGTAACTCATCAAGAGACAGGAATTCGGTTGCGAACGAAAATTGTTCTTATACTCTATAATGCCCACCAACAGTTCTAGTTAAAGTAATACCGAATACCGATAATGTAATTTTTTATATACACTAAAGAACAAGTGTGGAATACATATTTAGGCCATACCAAATACCTATAATGCAATTTATTATAATCTGTCAAGGATAACTGTTGAATATATACGATGTGTCGTACATAGACACATGATTTATTCATACAGTTTCTCTAATTCACGTGGGACATTGAACAAATTGTAAACATCTTGAATGTATCTTATCGTTAAATTGGTGAATTATTGTGTAAATCCATTTGTATAATTCGCATCCCTTTGCGCAGGCGCGGATCCAGGACTTCTGAGGGGGGGGGGGGGGGGGGAGGGGCAAATTTGAAATTATGCGAGCCAAATATTGGTACGTAATGGTGACACTGGCAGTGGCAAAAAACTTTTTTTTTTTGTTAGGGGGGGGGGGGGGGGTAGACAAAAAAAAAAATCCCCATCACCCCACTCTTACATGCAGGCCCCGCTGAACGTTTCTCGGCGGGGGTCAAGGGGTGGAGTCCCCGGAAGCACAGGGGGTATTGGCATTTAATTACTGTCAGATAAAGCATATTTTGATACCTAATTAATTTGTGACATTAGCAGGACACAAATTGGTGTAGGGTCAGAGGCGGCCCTCCCGGGGGGCAGGGGGGCAAAGTGCCCCTTTTTACATAGGAAAAGTGCCCCTTTTATTTTGTAAGAAGTGCCCCTTTTACATAGGAAAGGCGCCTCTTTTACTTTGACAAGTGCCCCTATTACTTAGTAAAAGTGCCCCTTCCACCTCTGATGAGTGTCCTTTTTATTTTTGACACGTGCCCCTTTTTCTTCGACATGTTCCCATTTTCCTTTGCAATAAGTGTCCATTTTCCATTCTCATAAATCTTGAAATTATCTTGAATAAGTGCCCTTTTTAATCTCTAGTAAGTGCCTCTTTTCAGGTACGGGAAGTGCCCCCTTCAAATCTGATAATTGCCCTTGCTCCTTTTACTTTGACAACTTCCCTTTTTTTCCTTTGTAAGAAGTGCCCCTTCTCCTTTTAATAACTACCCCTTTTTTAAACTCGGATGAGCACACCTTTCATTTAAACATGTGCCCCTCTTATTTTCTAATAAGTGCCCCTTTTCCTTATGATAAGTGCCCCATTAAAAAGAGAGAGCTCCTTCCCCTTCTCATAACTACCCCTTTCCCTTTCTAATAAGTGCCCCTTTTCCTTATGATAAGTGCCCCCATTAAAAAGAAAGAGCGCCTTCCCCTTCTCATAACTGCCCCTTTAAAAATCTGAACGGTGCCCCCTTTTCATTCAACAAATGCACATTTTCCTTTGTTATAAGTGCCCCTTTTACATTTTCATAAGTGCCCCTTTTCATATTTGGTCAGTGCCCCTTTTCAACTCTGATAATTCCCCTTTTAATAATAATACGTGCCCCTTTTCCTTTCTAATAAGGGACCTATCCCCTTTTCACCTATTATAAATGCCCCTATCAAAATCTGATGGGTGCCCCTTTTCCGTCAACAAATGCCTATTTCCCATTTTCGTAAACGCCTCTTTTTCATCACTGGTGAGTGCCTTTTTTCATGTGAAAAAATGCCTCATTTTCACCTCTTATAATTATCCTTTTTACTTTGACACATGCTCCTTTTCTTTTCTAATAAGTGTCTTATCCCTTTCGATAATTTTCCCCTTTTCATGTAATCATTAAATGTGCCCCTTATTTAAAGCGACTAAGAGCAATTTCCCCCAAAGTTCGCTCGCTGCGCTCGCTCGCATTTAAAGATGATATAATTATATTACTTATCAAAGGCCTTTTCAGTCTTCCGTTATGAGAATGTGCTTATAACCCCATCACGATTGGCTTTTTTCCTCTTTATAAGATGTAATTTTTCACACTGCGACCTCACAGATCTTTAAATTTTTTCTCGCTCGCTTCGCTCGCTCGTAAATGCATATTCAGACATCACATCCTACTGTAAAGTATGATGCTTAAGTGATATCTTGTATGATGTATGAAGAGAAAAAAATATTGAAATCATCCCTGAAAATGTAATCACAATGTAGGGGTATATACCAATGTCTAAAAAATTGTATATTTCGCTTTGAAATTTCCCAATGTAGGTGCCCCTTTTTTCCAGAAAGTGCCTTTTTGTTGGTGCCCCCCCCCACTTTGGAAGTCGCTCGGCCGCCCCTGTGTAGGGTCTAGGGGGCGGAGCCCCCTGGAAGCTCAGGGGTTTTGGGCAATAAATTACGGTCAGATTGGCATATTTTGATACCTTATTTGTGACACTGGCAGGTCACGAATTGACGTGGGGTCAAGGGAGCGAAGCCCCCAGAAGCTCAGGGGTTTAGGGCAATACATTACGGTCAGATGAGCATATTTTGATACCTTATTTTTGACACTGGCAGGACACAAATTGGTGTTGGGTCCAGGGGGCCAAGCCCCCGAAGCTCAGGGGTTATATACATTAAAGTATCGTCAGATGAGCATATTTTTATACGTTATTTGTAACACTGGCAGGTCATGAATTTTCCTGGGGTTCAGAGGGCGGAGCCCCCGGAAGCTCACGGGTTTTGAGCAATAAATTACGGTCAGATGAGCATATTTTGATACCTTATTTGTGACAGTGGCAGGACACAAATTGGTGTTTGGTCAAGGGGCGGAACCCCCAGAAGCTTATGCCTAGTTCACACCGACGCCGAATGTCGCGCTTTAAATCGGCGATCAATTCGGCGTCATTTTTTCAAAAAATCTCACGATCTCCTGAGACATGTTATGCTAAGTTCACACCGACGCCGAATTGATGGCGCATTAAATCGGCGAGCAAAGCGGCGGCAAAGCGTAACAAAGCTTAATTAAAGCGTAAAGACCGGAATAGAGCGTGAGAAAGCTTTGAGCAATTCGGGACATTCGGCAAGAGCGCCAAAAATTTAAACTCTGTTAAGCTTTCCTACGCTTTGAGCAAAACTTTGATAAGCTTTGTGACGCTTTGATAAGCTTTAATACGCTCTCCCCGCTTTACGCAATTCGTGACAGATCGCCTCAAATTTTTAAACAGTTTAAAAAAAATTGGCGCTCTTGCCGAATGTCCCGAATTGCTCAAAGCTTTCTCACGCTCTATTACGGTCGTTACGCTTTAATTAAGCTTTGTTACGCTTTGCCGCCGCTTTGCTCGCCGATTTAATGCGCCATCAATTCGGCGTCGGTGTGAACTTAGCATTAGGGGTCTTGGGCAATACTTTACGGTCAGATGAGCATATTTTGATACCTTATTTGTGACACCGGCAGGACACAAATCGGTGTTGGGTCCAGGGGGTGGAGTCCCCAGAAGCTCTGGTGTTTTATACATTAAATTATCGTCAGATGAGCATATTTCTATACCTTATTTGTGACACTGTCAGGTCACGAATTGGCGTGAGGTCCAGGAGGCGGAGGCTCAGGGGTGTTAGGCAATAGATTACGGTCAAATGAGCATCCAGGGGCCCGCCTTAGGGCAATGTTTGGGTTCAGGAGGCAGAGCCCCGGAAGCTCAGGGTTTTAGTCATTTAATTACGTCAGATGAGCATAATTATACCTTATTTGTGACACTGCACCCACAACAAAAAGTGAGTCACCCTTACTCAAATTGATGAGTTACTGGTTTGTCCGTACAGCGAAACACTTGAAGGATCATGTGAGTCACTATGACTCGATACAAATGAGTCTTATTTATCTAAGAGACTCATTTGTATCG